TCCACAAACTTCAAACCCCCTCGGGGTCCCCGGTTTATAACACTTTCAAGATAGCAGAAGCCTTCAGAGACTACTATGCCACACTATATAACATACACCCTACTAGGCACCCAGAGGCATTATCCGCCAAAAAATCCCTTATTAGCAAATACCTGAAGGAAGCGGGCCTTAAGAAGCTTTCCCCCTCCATTGCGGCTGACTTGGATAGACCTATCACCTCAGACGAAGTGGAGGCGGTCATTAAAGCGTCACCTAATGGGAAGAGCCCGGGCCCGGATGGCTTCTCGAAAGCTTACTACATGAAATACTTGCCCCTGCTCTCCCCACATTTATGTTCCTACTATAATGCCCTGGCCAAAGATGAGTCAGCACCCTCAGGGGCTTTGCTGGCTTATATCACGGTCCTCCCAAAGGAGGGCAAAGACCCCTCTACCCCTCAAAGTTATAGGCCCATATCGCTCCTTAATACAGATTTGAAGTTTCTCTCCAAGATACTGGCCGACCGCCTGAAGGTCTTCCTGCCCGCTGTTATCCACCCAGACCAGACCGGTTTTATACTGGGGAGGGAGACTAGGGACAGCTCCCTTCGAGCGATCCAAGTGGTTCAATGGGCTTCCCACCGTGCCTCTTCCTCCTCCTGTCCACTGACGCTGAGAAAGCGTTTGACAGGGTGGATTGGACGTTTCTGAGGACGGTGCTGGAGACCTTGGGGCTTGGCCCCCTGATGCTGGGCTGGGTGGCCTCTCTCTACAGTGACCCATTGGCCTGCGTGAAGGTGAATGGTACCCTTTCCAACCCCTTCAGAATTGGAAATGGCACCAGGCAGGGATGTCCTCGGTCCCCGCTCCTGTTCGCGCTGACCCTGGAACCCTTCCTGAAAAAGGTCCGCAACAATCCTGATATTAAAGACCTGACGATTGGCTCTCAGGAACATAAATTATCTGCTTATGCAGATTACATCCTTTTTTATGTTACGGATCCCGTCACCTCGCTCCCTAACTTGGTCTCGGAGTTCGCCCATTATGGACAGCTATCCAACTTCAAAATTAACTACCTGACTAATGTCTTTATTCAACCTCAAATACTATGTAACTATGTAATAAGTCTGAAATTCTGCCCATCACAGTCCCGTTGGCAATGGCTCACCAGTTGAGACACAGTTTCCCGTTTTCCTGGTCTACGACGGCCATAAGATATCTGGGAATTCAATTGACCAACCACTGCTCCCACCTGTATACGCACAACTTTGAGGCCTTACTACACAACCTCCAGAGAGATCTCCAGGACTGGGATCGCACATCGTTCACGTGGCTGGGTCGCATTAACATACTGAAGATGACGGTGCTCCCTAGGATCCTCTTCTACCTCCAAATGATACCTATATTCCTACCTCAAACTTACTTTGTAAAACTTCGTAGTCTGTTTATTTGCTTTGTTTGGGGGGGTAAGAGACCCCAAATAGCATATACCATCCTGCGCAGGCCCAAGGGGGCCGGGGGACTAGGCCTACCTGATGTTAGCCTATACTATAAAGCCATCTCTCTCCAGAGGATTGTGAACTGGCATTTTGACGCTTCCACCAAGCTCTGGGTGCAGATCGAAAAATGCATGGCGGGTCGTGATCTAGCTCATGCCCCGTGGGTACCTTGTGCTAGTCGTGGTCTCTCTAACCACACATCCCCCCTGACTCATCAGACCCTCTGGCTGTGGATTAGACTGAATGCTGGGGGTCTACTCTTGCCACCGCTGTCCCCACTATCTCCACTAGGGGGCTATCCATGGTTCCCTCCTGGGGAAGATATTTCCTTTTTCTGCGGATGGGACCTGCAGGGAGACTTCCGCTGTCATAAACTCCTCAGTCGGAGTTCTCTGATGTCCCTGGAGGAGATCAAAACCAAATATGGTGATTTCCCCTTGGCAGACTGGAGATATAGACAACTCACCCATTTCTTTGGAACGACTGCCAAGGGTATAAGGCCCATGTCCTCCCTCACACCCGTTGAGTCCCTATGTGCGGGATCTACATCCCCAGATCGACTGGTCTCATTCTTTTATGGCCTGCTTTTGTCCACGCTCACAAGAGACAGACCGAGGTTCCTAGGGGAATGGGAAAGGGAGCTGGGACGGAATCTCTCAGATGACCAATGGCACTTGATATACCGCTTCACACACAAATCCTCGGTAGACTCCAAGATGCACGAAACCAACTACAAATTGCTGTCCCGTTGGTATCGTACTCCGCTCTACCTGAGTGCCATATTCCCGGGGACACCCTCGCTTTGTTGGAGGGGATGTGGGCAACCAGGTGGTCTCCTACACATTTGGTGGGAGTGCCCACTTATAAGGGGCTTCTGGCAAGATATTCGCACTCAAATTAAACTTATCACAACGATAGATATACCAGACGACCCCGTTCATTTGCTGTTCCACCTCCCTTTCACGACCACTGGCTCCTATAGGAAGAGTGTGCTGCCTCATCTTTTGGATGCGGCGAGGAGACTTGTCCCCAGATACTGGAAGCAGGCTAGGGTTCCGGGGAGATCTGAATGCGTGGCGTAGGTCACGCAAATCCAGGAGGCAGAGGAATGGGTGGCGAGGAGCAACAATAAACATAACCGCTTCTACTCTAAATGGGCAACATGGCTACACTATGTATCTCACCCGCCATGACGAGTGATCCAGTAAGGGCATCTAGGCACTGGCTTGATAGGCCATCCCCCGACTCTTGGCCTTCTGGGAGGGTTTCATCTCACGAACTGCCGAATAACATTGGATATCAGTATGTACTGTTTTAGATACTAGGAGATAGGTTGATGCACGACAAACTAACACTCATAGTGGTGATGGAGACATCACCATCTTCACTGGAAATCGAGCCTATGCGATGGGACATGATGAGGCCGGGCGACATACCCGCTTATTGTGTTACATTGTGGTTATGTATGTCATTGTATATCTGTGCCTTTTTTCTTGATTTATTTATTTTTTTGCTGTCGGGGTCTATGTTGGACCCACTTTAGTCCCTTAAATGTTCCTGTGTAAATGTGACTATTTGTGAAACGAGAAAAATAAAGATTATACAAAAAAAAAAAAGGAAGGCTGCTGCCACTGTATTCTGACAAGTGGCATCCTGCTGATCCACCAATGGGTGCTTTTAAATTGTAATGAGATGTGCTGGGTATATGCGCTAAGGGATGTCTCCATTCACTGAGCTATAAGTAACAGATTCCTGTCTGTCCCATTCTGCAATCTGTGCAGTATGTTATATATGCCACACTGTACTTTATGTTATATAAATCATACTGCTAATCATCACAGTGGTGACATATTAATGTTCTTACCAATTAGACTTCCGAATTCCACTTTGTTCAATAAACAGGCACATTTTTGCTACTATATAAAATCAACCCGTTTCTAGTAATTAAGCATGTACAGAGCTCTTACTTTGACTGCATTATATTTTTAAAACCCGCATACCAGTGTTAAGATACCTCAGTGCAGTAGGGATAATAATAAATAAACAGAGGGCAAACTTACATGGGGGCAACCGTGCCACTCCAGCTGTTGTAGAACTACAAGTCCCATGCATTGCAAAACTCACAGCCACAAGCATGACTCCCAGAGGTGGAGGCATGATGGAATTTATAGTTTCATCATAGCTGGTGTATCAAGATATGCCTTCCCCTGCCTTAAAGGGTACATCCACACCAGGGCCAGACTTTCTTAAGGCAGATTTGAAATAATTTTGCTTGAGAAACTCCATTAATTTCCTGAGTCGAATGTTAAAATCAAACAAAATTTCAAACCACATTTTACAAGTCTCTGATGGCTTTAACAAATGTTTCAACAAGAATTTTCATATGAATGCTTGTAGTAAAATCTGCCAGTGTGTGGCCAGCTTCACTGAATAGAAAATGGTGGCAAATACATTTTTTAAATATACTGTGACAGTGTAAGCCAATGCCACGGTGTATTATGGCGACTTTGGCACCCAGGACTCTCAGCCAAAGGGGCTGAGAGGGTCCAGAACGTGAAAGATGTTATAAGGAAGAGCCTGGCTTTTCGGGTGCGTCCAGGTTTTCCTGATTGTAGCTGGGATCTGGAGCTCTGGAGATTTCGTAGAGCTCTGGGTCGGATGAGATCTCGAGTCCTGGGGCCAGGTGTTGCTAATGACCAGCCTGGGCTGATCAGATGGCTGAGAGCAGCCTCATTAGGAAGCCAGCTCAGTGCTCAGAAGAGTGTTGGAGTTGTGTGTGTGCAGGAGGCACACTGACACACGCAGACTCGGGTGCGTGCTGGACGCACAAGGAACAGCCGGGGGAGGCTGGGAGAGGTCAGGGAGGTCGGTGACCCTAGGACCTGTGGGACACACTGCTGAGAGAGCAGATTGAGGGCTCACGAGGGGTGAGCTGCGTGAGTGTCTTGGAGCTGTGGAAAGCTACAGAGCGAAGCTAAAAGACTGTCTTTTATGTTGCGGCTAGAAACTGTCTTGTGCAACAGGGGAGGTCTACCCTGTGGATGGAATGATATATTTGGTGTTTGCCCTAAATAAACTGCATTTTACTTGCACCTCCTGTCTACAGTGGAGTGTGCTTGTTACAATACACAGGCATAAACTGTCAGTAGTAATACTCATGTATGTTATGCTTTGAACGGTTTAGGACTTCTTGAACACTTTAATAACCTTAAGCGCCTTTGGTTTCTGTCTGGTAAAAAGGATGCCCACAGGACCGGATCATCAGGGGAAATCTTTCTACCAGCAACACAGGCAGATCTTATAAGCTTTTTTATTGTTGTCTGTTGCTCTCTCTTTGGTAAAATGTCCTCAGGACAGAAAGTGAGTGGAAAAATCTCTCGGAGCTGCAAATAACAATAAAACTTGACATGGATTCTGACCTTTTCCCATTCCAAAACTAAAACAGAAAAGGTTTGATACATTTTAAAGTCTGTCATTCACAAAAAAAAAACAAAAAAGTAAACCTATATATTTTTTTGCTTACCTACATTAGCTTCCCCATCAGTCAACAAGATAATTAAAGAGGCGCTTCTCTCTGGAATCTGTTTCATTTCATATGCTTTATTCAATAGCTCAACTGCCTTCAGTACAGCATCATTAATGTTTGTAGCTGTAAAAATAAAATATGGTAAAAAAAAATTTATGTAGCATTTGCAAATTCAATAAACTACTAATAATTCAGGAAGCATACACTCTGCTAAAATCCAGTTGGTGAAATGTAGTGTCTGATTCTCTGACAGGGTAAGCATATGGATGCCTAGATGAGTGCTTCTACCATGGCACTCTTGGTGCACAGTGGCACTGACGTACAGCACATAGAGCCTACACTGCTAGTGGATTTGCTATTCACATTTATTGCAAGGCCACAAAGGGAGTTGCTGTTTAGAAATCAAATAATATTGGGTAGTTATAGATGAGAAAACTTTATGTAATGCAGAGCAGCAACAATACTTTTTGGAATGAAAGTAATTATGATTTTAAAATGTAACGTCCCCACTAGCAATCAGCAAATAGTTCAGTAATTAGTGAGTTTAGGACATTGGTTCAGTTTTCAGACCTAGTAATCCATCAAGTCATTATTTAATGCTATGTTTGGTCAATAAGGCAGTCAGCTGTCACGGTTGTTTCCTTTTATAAACTACAGTTTTGTTCTGACCACATTTTTACTTTAGCATGAGTTAAGACCCCATGTATATCCTGGGCCTAGAATACAAGGGTGCTCCATGGGGACAGGAATCAATATAAAGTTTGATACGATACTTTAGCACTGTTGTAGCTTTAGAAACATTTTAGACAAGGTCATGTTCATTTAAAGGGATTTTTCAACTCTACCTGTTGAACATTGGTTGTTGAATTACAAAAAAATGTTGCTTTGTAAAACTTACTCTTCTGCTGTGTTATGAATATTTGTCGGACTCCTGCTATGTAAATCAATGTGAACTATACACTGATCAGCCATAAGATTAGGACAACTGACAGGTGAAGTAAATGATATTGATTATCCCGTTACAATGACACCTGGAAGTGGTTGTAATATATTAGGCAGCAAGTGAACATTTTGTCCATAAAGTTAATGTGTTGAGAGCAGAAAAAAATTAGTAAAAGTTTGGATTTCAGTGACTTTGACAAGGGCTAAATTGTGACTGCAAGATGACTGCGTCAACTCCAAAATTGCAGCTCTTGTGGGATGTTCCCGGTCTACTGTGGTCAGGACCAACGTGGTCCAAGGAAGGAAAAACTGTGAAACGGCGACAGGGTCAAGGATGGCAAAGGCTCATTGATGCACATGGGGAGCGGAGGCTGGCCCACATAGTCAAATCCAATAGAACAGCTATTGTATCTCAAATAGCTGAAAAAGTTAATGCTGGTTTTGATAGAAAGGTGTCTGCACACAGTGCACTGCAGATTGTTGCATATGAGACTGCATAGCCGAAGACCGGTCAGGGTGCACATGCTGACCCCTGTCCACCTCAGAAAGTGCCTACAATGGGCACATTAGCATCAGAACTGGACAATGAAGGTGGCCTGGTCTGATAAATCATGTTTTCTTGTACAAGCTCCTGGTCATCCACATGCTGTAAATCACCTACCTGGGCAAGAGATGATACCAGGGTGCACTATGGGAAGAAGGCAAGCCGACAGAGGCAGTGTGATGCTTTGGGCAATGTTCTGCTGTGAAACCTTGGGTCCTGCCACTCATGTGGATGTTACTTTAACACATATCACCTATCTTAACATAGTTAGCAAGTACACCCTGTCAGGACTGGGTGCAGACACTCTAGTTAGAGTATATAGTGGCGAGTGGTTTTACCTTTTAGCAGCCGCCTTTCCCATTAGGCAAGTGCACCAACAACCTACTGGCCACAGATGGTCCTCAGGTGCAAAGCAGTAGCACTGACTGGTGACAAGATACAAACAGAAAGCAAGATACAGAAAGACAGGAACAGAACGCAAGATAAAAGACAGGAACATGATTCAAAATAAAGGCAGGTACAGAATTCAAAGTACAAGGTGGTTACAGGATTTAAGGTATGAGACAGGTATAGCAATCAAGTTACAAGGCAGGTTTAGGATTCAAGATACAAGTCAGGTATATGATTCAAGGTACAAGGCAAATACAGGCTTGTGCCGACTAAACTAGACAGCACTATCACAAGCCTAGATCCCTGGGCTTGTGATACTTAAATAAAGTGCCACTAACCAATCCCAAGGCTGAGGAGTGTGTGGCCAGTGTGTGGCCAGGCTCACAGCTGATAAGAAGTTTGGAATAGGTGCAGTGGCAACAAGCAACCACCAGTAGGAGCTGGGAGGTTGCGTCAGTCATAGGAGTACTGGACATGCTCCTAACACACTCCACGGTATTTCCTGATGGCAACATAAATGATTCAAGAATAGTTTAAGGAACACAACGAGTTTGAGGTGTTGACTTGGCCTCCAAATTCTCCGGATCTCAATCAAATTGAGCATCTGTGGGATGTGATGGAAAAACAAGTCCAATCTATGGAGGCTCCACCTCACAATTTCCAGGACATAAAGTATCTGCTACTGATAGCTTGGTGCCAGATATAATAGTATACCTTCAGAGGTCTAGTGAAGTCCATGCCTCAAGGGGTCAGGGCTGTTTTGGTGGCAAAAGGGGGACCAACTTAATATTAGGTTAAGTTAGGTTAGGGTAGTCATAATGTTTTGTCTGATTGGTGTACTTGCTCTAAACATACAGCTACACTGATCATACCTGCACCAATGTGTCTGTAGGCTCTGTGCGCTCACTAGAAATGGAGTCACATAGGTGGAAGCACCTGGGCACCATTCAATACTCACGGCACCTTCTCCTGAATTGATATAACATCATGTACCTCTTCCTTATTGCCAATTATAGTAGAGACAGGCTATCTTCCCAGAGGTATTTTTAGACTTTGCCCCACTCTGTCTGTCTCTTCACTCCTCTTCCATAAACCCACACCTTTGGAGACTAAAACCAAGCTGGCTATCAGATGAAATTGAAGAAAACCACTGCCACTCTGCTCTACAAAATTACTGGGCTGGACAGTTCCATGCTTATTCTTCATCTCCTAACTGGGAGGCATCTAAAGTTACTTTTAGAGGCTCATTCATGGCCATTATAGGCTAGGGATGCACCGATACCAGTATCATATCAGCATTTGTGCCGATACTGGGCATTTTCACAAGTCAAGTGACCAGATTGGTTTTATACCGGGTAGATCCAGAATGAATATCAGACATCTATTTCACATTCAGATTCTAGCACTAGAGTGATTATTTCCTTAGACACAAAAAAGGCATTTAATCGTGTGGAATGGCCTTAACTATTTGCTGTTTTACAGCAATTTGGATTTGTTCCTAATATCCTCAAATGGATTCAGTTATGTATGGTTATAATGCTCCATTAGCCAGAATTCAAATGAATCAAATCATTTCTGGTTCTCCATCACCTTCTCCAATTGTAGGGGCATCAGGCAGGAATGCTCCCCTCACGCACCCTATTTGGCCTAGCCAAAGAGCCCTCATTCATATTAACACAAACTTCTAATATCAAGGGAATTTGTGTTTACTCTCTGGAGGAGCACATATCTCTATATGCCAATGATGCCCTGATTTATTTTTCTGATCCAAATCATTCCCTAGCTTCAGAGACTTCACAGGCCTCAGAGTGATATACTAAGGCATCACTATACAGCTTTTCGAATCACTTTATTTACAACTTCAATTACAAAAAAGTTGGCACGCTGTGTAAAATCTACATAAAACAGAATGCAATGATTTGCAAATCTCATAAACCCCTATTTTACTCACAATAGAAAATAAATAGAAAACATATCAAATGTTCAATATTCTGAAATTATTCGACAATTTTTAGATGCAGCTTTTCACAGATTGGTGAACCCCTGCACGTCTTTACTACACTCCGACTCTTTAAGATGCTCTTTTTATACCAAATCATGTTACTGACCTGTCTCCAATTAATCTAATTATTTGCAAAATGTTCTTCCAGCTCTTGCTTGTTAGTATGACTTACTTTGCTAGCTTTTGTTGCCCTGTCCCAACTTTTTTGAGTGCCATCAAATTCACCGTGTTGGTGCCATCAAATTCAAAATTACCTTATTTTGTTCTTAAAATGGTGCATTTTCTCAATTTAAACATTTGATTTGTTTTCTATTTTTGATTGTGAATAAAATATGGTTTATGAGATTTGCAAATCATTCCATTTTATTTTTATGTAGATTTTACACAGCGTCCCAACATTTTTGGAATTGGAGTTGTAGATAAAAACTTCTCTCTGATACATAAATCCCTCTCAGGCAAAACTTAACAACGGATGTTCTTCATGATATATTTAATGGGTAGAGCCAGTTTGATAAAGATGAGTTTCTTACCCAAATTATTATACATTTTCCTGAATGCCCCAGTCTATATGCCTTTATCATTTTGTAAATGTATCCACTCTGTTTGTGTCTCTTTATGATAGATCCAACATCAACCTCATATTGCTTGAGACACTGCAACTTCCTCTAAACCAAACTGGTTTAGCCTTCTCTAATTTCCAAAAACTGTCTCTCCCCTTCCAAACATAACTCTTTCACAGCAACTGAGTCAACCATAATGTCCATTTATGAATCCCTGTGTAGTTTGATCCATAGAAAACCATCCTTATCAATGCTGGCTACCTCTTCTGCCAAGTGGTCAACAATTCCTTAAAGATAACTGGTAACTATTTCTCTGGAAAAAATATCGAATACAAAGACAATGTATACAACTCCATAGGTTACTACATACAACCATAATGCAGCTGGGCCTCGTATTACCCTTTTTACCCCAATCCTAAAATCCAGCTGATATAAGGTGATCTCCTCCTTAAACTCAACTTCACTATTCACCAAACCTACCAAATGTTAATGTGCCAAGCAACGCTAGGTTTTCCTTTTACCAATGCTAATGTTTGAGGAGTCATATATGACTACCCTTATCTCAGAGACAGGGTTATTCAATTCAAACTGTTCCACTGAATTTAATACGCTATGTACTCGACAGTTCTGATTTAACTGTTTTGCTGTCAGAGCCATTACTCTCAGCCTATTGGCCTTAGATTTTCATCCCATTAGCTGGAAAATCTCTGTGAGTGAGGCTGAGAGTGGGATGGTCACATATTAGTGACAGCATGGTAGGATCAAACTGCGTATTGTCACGTATTGGTGACAGTAGAGTGGGTCTTTCTCATCCAAATAGTTAAACAAAACTGAATATGAGACAACCCTAGGCTAAATCCTTTAATCAATTTTCTGGCCCAAAATGTGCATTTTAGCGTGTGTGCAAAAATTAAAAGGCAAAAGCAGCTCTAAAGCGAAAGGATTGAAGGTACATTTATTTACTGATTCAAAGTCACATTAAACTGGGCCAATGAATTCCTAGTAGCTTGCCGATCTTTACATTTTAAATATAGGCTCACTTTAACACAAGGTGAAGGTATGGGAAACATTATTCTGAAGACCAGCAAAAGTGTGTATTGGCAGCACTCCCAGTTTCATGAACTGAGATAAAACATTTCTAGCCATTCTTTAAAAGGTTTATATTTTATCTTAAAACTATGTTACAGCTTTTAGAGTTACTTACCTCCTCCACTTTGAATTGCACTGACATACTTTTTGGCTTCTTCTACATTTTCTGGAGTTGCTTTTATCAAAGAATCTTTCCAGACACTAATGCTACTGTCAAACAGTATAAAATTGAAGTAGTCATGCTCTGCAGTGTCATTCAGGATTTTAAGTAGAGCTTGCTTGGTCTAAATGTAATATAAGTCGTATTAGTCATAATAGTAAATAATACACTATTACACTATTAGTCATAATAGTCATAATAGTCATAATAGTAGTAGTCAGAGGAGACACATAACAATTAAGGCATTCTTCAGTTAGAAAGACATTATAGTGGACCTGAGATCAGATGTACCTTTAGGGCCCATTTACATTTCTCCATTTCAGTGTGGTATATTAACAAATGCTTTTTTTGCATGTGTTAACATGAGGTGGTGCCATTCATTTCGAATAGCAGCCCAATGCACTATGGCCACGCACCTCTAACACACACGTGTGGTAGCACGCCACAACAGAAATCAATAGACTACCATGCTTTTTGGTGCACTGCATAAAAAAAAAATGCTGAGTTTCTGTTTTTATGTCCATTCTGGTGCATTAGCAGCCTTTTCAACTGAGTGGGCTTCCTTATCATAATGCACCAGAATGGCAAAGTGTAAAATTAACTGCTAAATGATGTACAAATAAGACATGCTCACATATTTATTACCCCTCACAGAGATAGCATTACTTCTCCTAACAACACCTTCATCTACTTCTAAGGCATTATCCAAGGTCAGCAAGCTTCTTCCTGAACTACATTTTTTTTCCATAGATATAAATCCTGGTCCCTGTGTAGTTATGTTCTGTGCTGTGTATACAAACTGACTGTCATAAATCAGCCCCCTCTCACCTTGGAACATGCATTGCTGCAGACATAGTTACAATAAATATTCATATATATGTATATTCATATACAGTGTATATATATATATCAGATTTTAACTTCAAACAGTAGAGCTTTAAGACACATCCACTCGCTGAAATCTTCTTTAACCTCAATGGCGGTATGATAATTATTCAGGATTTTAGCATCCCAAAGCGGTACATTGTTTTTCATGGAAATTTGTTGTTTTATATTGTAGGCCTGTAATTCTTAGTAAATCTTAGGAAAACCTCACCTAAATCTGTCCAAACAAGTGTCCAGTAGACATCCCGGGTATGTTAAAGTTTGAAACACGAAATTTAAAAATTATAATATAATAAATTATAAATAATTATAAGAAATAATATAATAAATAATGATAAATAATTATAAACAATTATAATATAATAATTTAAAAAATGGCCCAGTAAATGGGAATTCTGGGGGTGCTGCCTGATCCGTACCACATTCAATAGAGTACCAAGTTCGCACATCACTGAGCTCGGTCACAGAATTGTCGCTGTTTTAGGTCAAAAGCGGTTTTAGACCAGGTAGAAAACATAGTAAATTAGAATCACTTGCAGAATTGAGCAGACACTGAAAGTAACTTTTACTGTTCTTTCTGCCTGGAAACTTGTGAACGTCCATGGCATCCAAAAAGCGTCCCTTTAGGTCAAAAGCGGTTTTAGACCAAGTAGAAAACAGGGATAGTATATTAGAATTACTTGCAGAATTAAGCGATAGCAATTCGTTGGGAAATTCGTCCTCAGGCACTGAAGTAACTTTCAGTGTCTGAGGGTGAATTTCCCAACGAATCGCTATCGCTCAATTGAGGTTTGAAGCAGTTTATGTTTCCCACTGATACAGCTATGTGTGGAAGTGAATTCAAAGTAAAATACCCCTTATGTAGTTTTTGATTATACCTCATTCCCTCCAACTTCTTCTTGTGCCCTCGCATCTTCCTCACGGTACTTGGTTTAAGTAGTGTATTCCCAATACCGCAGTCCCCACTGATGAGTTTGTAAATTGTGATCATGTCACCTCTTAAGCGCCTCTTCTCTAAGGAGAACAATCCTAATTTTTGTAGGCGTTCTTGATAACTCAGACTTTACATTCCCTTATTAATTTGGTTGCCCTTTTCTAGCTCACGGACATCCCTCCTGGGGAATGGTGACCAGAGTAGCACAGCGTACTAAAGATGGGACCTTACCAGTGTTTTATATCTATATTTCCATATGCACCTTTTAAATTGATTTGAGCGGTTGCCATTTGTGTTTTTTTATTAGCAAGTTAACTGACACATACTGATGGTGCTAAATTTGGTCTAGCCATCAATAACCCCTGGTCATAAAAGGGTTGAGCATGCATTTCCGCATGTGCTTTTGCAACATAAGGGAGAAATTAACAAAGATTGAAGGTAAATGATACAACCCCAATTCCAAAAAAGTTGGGACGTGCGTAAAATGTACATAAAAACAGAATGCAAGGCTATGCAAATCTCATAAACCATTATTTTATTCACAATAAAAAAAATACCAAATGTTTAACATGAGAAAATGTATTATTTGAAAAAAAAAAAAGTTAACTTTGAAATTGGTGGCAGCAACATGTCTCCAAAAAGTTGGGACAGGGCAAAAAAAGCTGACAAAGTAAGTGATTTCAGAATAATGGTTCTCAATGTAAAATTGCAAAGACTTTAAATATATAATCATCTACAGTACATAAGATCATCAAAGATTCTGAGACTCTGGAGAAATCTCTGTGCCCAAGGGGCAAGGCCAAAACGTAATATTGGATGTCCGTGATCTCTGGGGGCAGGATCATCATGCAAAGAAGAAGACATTTCTGAAGATGATCCAGAGACGCTGCCGTCTTCTCTATGTCAAAGCTCATTTAAAATGGTCTGTTGCAAAGTGGAAAACTGTTCTGTGGTCAATTAGAAATGTAACATTATTTTTAGCAACCATGGGTGCCGCGCCCTCCGGATTAAAGAGGAGAGGAACCTTCCCGCTTTTTATCAGTGCTCAGTTCAAATGCCTGCATCTCTGATGGTATGGGGGTGCATTACTGTGTATGGAGTGGTCAGTTAGCATCTGGAAAGGCACCATCAATGCTAAAAGATATATCCAGGTTTTAGAGCAGCATATGCTCCCATCCAAATGACGTCTTTTTTTCAGGAAAGACCTTGCATATTTCAGCAGGGCAATGCTAATCTATGACAACAGCATTGCTTTGTCATGAAAGACTGCCTGCAGTCCGGACCTTTCACCAATTGAAAATATTTGGCACATCTTGACACGTAAAATATGACAAAGAAGACCCAGGACTGTTGAGCAGTTAGGGTCCTATATCTGGCAATAATGGGACAACATTCCTCTCCCAAAACTCTCTCAAAACTCCAGCAACTGGTCTTCTCAGTTCCCAGACATTTACAGATTGTTGTTAAGAAGAGAGGATGCAACACCATGGTAAACATGGCCCTGTCCACACTTTTTTTTAGATGTGTTGCTGCCATCAATTTAAAAATGACCTGATTTTTTCTTAAAATGGTACATTTTCTCAGTTGAAACATTTGATATTTTTTCTATTGGGAATAAAATATGGGTTGATCAAATTTGCAAATCATTACATTCTGTTTTTTTGGAGATTTTACACAACATCCCACCTGTTTTGAAATTGGGGTTATACGTGCATTTTTGTGCAACTATGTAATGGGTGTGCGTAACAGTCATAAACACACGTTACTGCTTAAAAATGCATTTTAAAATAGTAAAATATTTTTTCTCTACAATTTGTAATACATTTTTTCTACAATTCTGAATCCTTCCTGAATTGTTGGTAAATCGTCCCAATAAATGCATTTTTATCAATGTGTAGAATATGTGGTGGAATATAAATGCTTTATAAATATGAACTTTAAAAAATGTGAAATACATAGTACATCACTATACTGTAAAACCCTACTGATATACATATGTTGCAAAATTACATTAACAATAGTTATGCTACCTGTTGCATTTTTCTACCAGCCATCGAACCACTTTTGTCAATGACATAGACAACAATTTTTGGCACACCAGACAACTTTGATGGTGCAAAGTAGTGCACAAAATATCCATTGACAATCTGGAAAAAAGAAGTGATAAAGATGAAATATTTCCATTGGATTCATATCTGACAACATCTAGACTTATTCATTTTTTCATGTTAAATGTTAACATGGAAGCTGCCATTGTTTTAATACTGTAAGTCACTGATCCAGAACATGTACGCAGATAAGGACTTGATAAATAAATTCAAAGATTCACTTACAAATAAATTGCAATCATGCTCTGCAAAGTTTACTTTCCAGCTTTGTAATACTTTCCAGAAAGTAAACAACGGTCAACTGTTGAGTTGTATTATAACAAAGTGGAAGCAACTGGGAACAACAGCAACTCAGCCAACGAAGTGGTAGGTACAATGCAAAGCGTGGGATGCAATGGTTTAAAGCACGCCGCCACTGGACTCTAGAAAAGTGGAGATGTGTTCTCTGGAGTGACGAATCACGCTTCTCTGTCTGGCAATCCAATGAACGTGTCTGGGTTTTGGCAGTTACCAGGAGAATGGTACTTGCCTGACTGAATTGTGGTTTATGATTATGATGTGGGGTTGTTTTTCAGGGGTTGGGCTTGGTAAAGGGATCAGCATACCAAGACATTTGGACAATTTCATGCTCCCAACTTTGTGGGAACAGTTTGGGGATGGCCCCTCCCTGTTCCAACATGACTGCGCACCAGTTCACAAAGCAAGACATGGATGAGCGAGTTTGGGGTGCGGGCACTTGACTGGCCTGCACGGAGTCCTGCTCTCAACGCGATAGAACACCTTTTGGATGAATTAGAGTGGAGACTGCGAGCCCGGCCTTCTCGTCCAACATCAGTACCTGACCTCACAAATGCGCTTCTGGAAGAATGGTCAAACATTCCCATAGACACACTCCTAAACCTTGTGGACAGCTTTCCCAGAAGAGCTGAAGCTGTTATAGCTGCAAAGGGTGGGCCAACTCAATATTGAATCCTACGGACTAAGACTGAGATGCCAATAAAGTTCATGTTCGTGGAAAGGCAGGCGTCCCAATACTTTTGGCAATATGGTGTGTGTGTGTATATATTAGGGATGCACTGATAACGGTATTTTGGTACCGAGTACGAGTACCGATAATCTTTTTTCGCTACTCGCCGATACCAATTACCGAGTACTGGAAGTCCCATTCAGGAAGCCAGGTGGCGTGTAATGACTCGACACCTGGCTTCCTGATTAGCTGGGAAGCCGGGCAGCGTGTAAAGACTCGCCACCCGGCTTCCCGGTTAACAAGAAAGTCTGTCCCCTCTCACCTCAGCATGTCCAGCCTGTCACGCCGGGGCCTCTCCAGCCAGGAGCGGCCTTCCTCCGGTACCCAGCCGGAGCCGTCTTGCTGGCCAATCATGGAAGCCGGGCACCGTGTAATGATGCGGCGCCCTGCTGTCTGATTGGCCGGGAGGCAGGCTCCATGCTCCCTCGTCATGAGATGACAAGGGCTTCCCGGGCCAATCAGAATGCCGGGCGCTGCGTCATTACACGGCGCCCAGCTTCCTGATTGGCCAGCTTCCCGACCAATCAGGAAAGCCGGGAAGTCGGCTCCATGCTCTCTCATCACAAGTCCAATCAGGAAAACGGGCAGCGTGTAATGACGCGCTGCCCGGCTTCCTGATACAGGAAGTATCTAGCTAGGCATCGGAGCATTTGGGCGAGTACGGGTACTCGCCCAAATACTCAGTATCGGCACCGATATCGATACTAGTATTGGTATCAGTGCACCCCTAGTAAATATATATGTAACCCTTATAGTTTATAGCAATACTTATGGATCCCATTGGATGTGTGTCTGGCTATATCTTGCAATATGCAGAAAGTGGATAGATGAACCATACAGGAATTAGACAAAATAATCATATAAAGTTTTACACAGTGACAGAGCTCGCCACCTTTGAGAAAGATAGAAGCACTGTTGAAATGCATCAGGCAACCAAGGCTGTTAACAAATAAACTGTGTCATCACTCAGTGCATGCACGCCCCATAAAAAAGGCAATGCTGTAATCACACAGCCACCAGCTTGGGTTCCGAGCTGATCCATCTGAAGCTTGATACCTCTACAGAAACATGGTAAAATCAGAATTTAACATTCAGTATTCTTCAAGTTACTGGCATATGAATTTTGATTGATTAACTCTTTAACAACATTATGTCTACTATCTACTTGCCACTGGTTATATTTGTGCCAATGAATGCATTTAATGCACTGCAATTAATCTGCATGAACAGCAGATTGTGCCCTTAGACTTACTATTATACAGTGGACTCTACTCAAGATTTCAAACTTATTAGGGTAAGGCCATTAATATATATTCATTTGGTTGTCTTTGGAGGAATTTGTTGGATCAATTAACTGTGACCCAAATTAGTTGCCGCCATTTATTTTAGTGTATGAGCTGTACCTCATCTGTGTGCTATAAAAATGGATATGTCTTAAAATATGTAAACTATTATTAAAAGCTAGTTACTGAAATACACTTTTTTTGTTCCTGTGCCAAAACCTCAATGTCTACAGCCTGGGCACAGGTGCACTTTCACTCAGACATCTTCTTGAAGAACATATAACTGTCATAACAATCTCTCTACTAATTGTAGATGCTAAAGTGCACCTGTGCTATGACTATGAGCAATGGTTTCCATTACTCTTAACAAGCCATAAAAAAGCTTTAAACAAGCCCTCACTCACCTCTCTAGCGTCCTGTGATGTGAAGTATTTAAATCTCAAAGATCGCAGCAAACACTCTGTAGTTGGGTTTCAGTCTGTGTCTAACAGCTTATAAACATCTTCTGGTTGTTTATATTGGGGGTCTGACAGCCTGCCAAGCTTTACTGGCCATAGACAAAAGTCATCATTTCATTCCTGTTGTGGGGAGCTTTGTAAATTAATCTACAAAATACCTATAGACACAGAGGTGAATGAGGACTTGTTTTAAAATGTGTTTAAAAAATGTAGTTTTCATGATATGGGCACAGTTTCACTTTAAGACCTACGTGAAATACTAGCCAGGATTCGCCCAGGGCAACTTAATAAAGATCCTAAACCTACATCACTGGGCTTTCTCCTTGGAATTTAAATGGTTGTTCCTACTTATGCAGAAAATGCATTTAAATGGATCACCTGGGATTAGGTGTCAGCTTCCCTTAAATTTCTCAGGCTTAAAGAAAACATGATAAATGATCCCTCCTTTATTCTAAGCCCCAAGCAAGAATAAAAGTCAGTGGGGTCCAGTCATTGACTCTAACCATCAGCAAAAGAGGCAGAAAGGGATGTCCCTTACCTCCATTAGTTTCATCATATGTCTAAAACCCTTCCTGAGAATGATAAGAGCTAACAGCAATAATCATAACTTTTCCAATCCAGGAAAAGATTTTAAGACTGCAGCCATATCTGATTATCTATTATTCTTCCTTGTCCAGCTGTGTGTCACTATTCTAATTTTTCTGCACACTAAACATTTCTTTAAACTATTAATGATGATACAAAGAAGCCTTACCATTTATATGTGGGTGATGAGATTAGTAGTTTACAGAAGAAGAATAACATTGTTTATGATTTCAGTCCAGCTCACAGGGTGTAATAAGGACACCACATTTCTGACAAGATCAACAGGTATTTTATGTATATACTTACAATGTATTAAAAAACAGAAAACAAATTCAGCCACCAAATCTAAGCACTGTTAAGCTGTAATATATAACATTGATATTTCGAGTTTTTGGTTTTAGATATTCTTTAATGCCCAATTTGTATTCAGAACTCACCACAATTTTTGTTCTGAGCTCACCTGTATGTTTCCTGGAGATTCTCTGTTAACATCATATGTTACAATAAAATCCCCATTCAATAATGTTGATGCACAGTCAGGGCAGGAGCGCTGTTGATCTAATGTGGGTTTGAAAGAGATGTGACCCTGAAGATGGCAAAAAAAGTAGATTAATCAGTCTCTTATGCTGTGAACATGGGCTCCATTTAATAAAGTGTCTGAAATGAGAACTCTCTATATTTCCCAGAAGCAACCAATCAGATTAAAACATTCACAGGAAATATTTACCAAAGGCACATACTGTAGGCTGTTTCGCAGCAAGGAAATGTTCCCTTAGGTTAGTGAATTCATCATCAGCAGGACAGGGAATGAGGGGAAATCTTTCTAGCAGTAAAAATGTGACACGGGGTTCTAACCCTTCCCTATTCTTTTCAATACAAAGACAGATAACACACAATAAGATTATTTACACTAAAGAACACCCAAAGGCAACATTTTTATTTCCGTTTTAAATGTACTAAGGAAGGGTAGAACCTCTGCCAGGTTTTAATGTAGTTTTTTGTCTCTAGTGTGGTAATTCAACCACCCTGTTTGTCTTGCTAAAAAGCGGTACAAGGACTGAAAGTGAGAGAAAATCCAAACTTTTGAGTTTGAACAGAAATAGGAGGGCACATCCTCCAGTGTGGACACTTGGTCTGTTGGCAACCGAAAGAGGATTTCCTTTATTTTCTTGCTGTGCCTATGTTACAGGAAGTGAAGGTAATTCTTCCCAATGGGATATGGGTGACAAGAGGAAAACTGATAAGGGTTTTAACCATTCTCTTTTTCACCCAATCAAAAAAAAATTCCACTTTATATATTTAAAGGAGTTATAAAGTCAGCATCTACTATCCTGTTATATCATCAGTGTTGTAATAGGAATACATATTATAGTTGTTTCTGATAATGCAATTAAAGCTTACTTGAAAAAAATCCTTCCTGCTACTGACTTCTGCACTCTTATTACTTTCTCTTTACCTCTATGTTGTGTGGTTCATACTACAGACCTCTGAACTCTGTGTTGCGTACATATGACCCCTGCACTCTGCGTTACATACTACTGACCACTGTGCTCTGTGTTACATGTTACTGACCCCTGCATTCTGCGTTACTTACTACTGACCTCTGAACTCGTCAGACATTCCTTAGCTTTTAATGGGGCCCTGCTAGGCTATAGTGATCTTTGATCTTTTCTGGTATTAGATTGTTGAATGTTCCAGTGATAGGCAACCATGATAGGCAACATCTGTTCAGGTAGATGTCCACCTCTCCATGGTTGCCTACCACTGGTTTAGAACATTCAAAAATCTAATACCACAATATAGCATTATAAAAAGCTGTGTATGTCTGCTATTATCAAGTAATAAGAATTACCGTTTCTCCAGAGAAGGACTTCTTGATGGCTGGCAGCAGGTCATTCGTTAAGAAAGATGCTTTAGCATCAAGAAAACGTATTCCTTGTGGTTCATATATTTCTACGTCAATCTGAAATTAGTTAGTAAAGAAATTAGAAGGGAAAAAAAAGTATTTTTTTAACAAATGTAACAGATATATACATTTCCTGATACAGTAAATTCCCAGTTATCCGGCACCCACTGGGATTGGTAGGTGCTGGATAACTGTAGTTCCTGGCTGATTGAGAGTTAATAGTAACTCTCAAGCAACCCCCCTCCCCCTTCCTGTGGCCAACTCCCGGTAACCAGCTGAAAGCAATAGCTAGCCTGCAATTGGCTATTTCAAATTGCCAATTGTTGCCAATTGTGGCTTCTACTTTCCTTCTTCTACTGTATACTACTGCAGGATTTATCTCTATTTACATCCTCACCCCTCCTATTCTTCATTAGTTGTTTGTTCTATTTATATGTTTTTACCTTTTATTATGCTAATGCAATGTGATATCCTTATTGGCATGACTACCTTCTTCCTGAAATTGCTCTCTTTCTTGTCGATTTTTCTTGTAATTAGATTTTATGATCACACACCAGGATCTCACACTTATTTTTTACATATGTTGAATTAGCCATTACTCATTATCTGTATGGTATTAAGTGTAATACCACACTTTCTGTATACTTTTAGTTTGCATTCTGTCTTTTGTATCTTTGTAAATCTTTAAGAAAACAGTTATTAAAAAAAAAAAGAAAATGAAAGAAAGAAGCTGATTGGTTGTCATGCACAGCTGCCCCAGATTCTGTATGCTCCAGTTTTGATAAACTCCCCTCCATGTCTTTCAGATACAGACTTGAATCAGTCACTAATGGTGAAGATGTTTTATCTGATTGCATGGACTTCTGACTATCTTTAAATATAGTTTACAGGTGAAACTCGAATAATTAGAATATCGTGCAAAAGTAATTGCAGTAAGTCCTGCAAAAGGGGCCCAAACCAAGTACTGAGTACATATGCATGCTTGTACTTTTCAGAGGTCCAATATTCTTCTATGTACAATCCTTGTTTTATTGATTGCATGTAATAATGTACTTTTTTGAGGTTGTGGATTTGGGGTTCTTGGGGTTTTCATGAGCTGTAAGCCATAATCATCACAATTATGACAAATCACGGCTTGAACTATCTTGCTTTGCATGTAATGAGTCTATCTCATATATTAGTTTCACCTTTTAAGTTGCATTAGTGAAATAAATCAACTTTGCACGATATTCTAATTATTCGAGTTTCACCTGTACAATCAGTAACATTCGTATTCTTTGGAACCAAATGCTAGCTTGTGTAACAGTAGCTCAGGTGTGCCATGTAACAAGGTTTGCATTTGGTTGGCTGTTTACTAGTTTCCTAGGTCTCTGGACAGACCAAGCCAACACATTTCAATAATTATCGTCATAGCTACTTAGATTATCCATGGTAGGAAAGGGTATCTTTCAACATCAGTATATAGTTGAAGCTTTAAAGGGGTCCATGTGAATGTAAACATTTTTTAGAAAGCAACAAATGAAAAATAGAACAGCTTTTGGCCTTTTACTATCACTTGTAATCATGTATATCCTTTAAACATCAGCTTTATAACACCATATGAAACCATCAACATAATAGAGGGTTCATTTTTCACAAATAAATGCTAAATGTCCCCTATAGCAGTGCCCAGCTCCCCATGCCTTTTTTTGGCAATAGCTTGACTATTAGCCTTGAAAATAGCCATAATTTAGTATCAAAATTAGTCCCTTATATTCTTCAATGGAGTTTGCAGCTTAGTTTAGGTTCTATGAATTTCAAGCAGGATTTAACAAATCCCTTGCAAATCGACCCTGGGCTGATTAGCTCATCTCTACTGAAGACTATAATTACAGGAATTAACCTCATAAAGTTACCAGAATACAGTATTTTCTTTTGCTATAGACTGACATTTTTAAAAAGTCCAGTTTACATGCAGTCAGTTGCTCAATAAAAGAGATCCAGCGATGTATCCCCTTCATCAGATACAGACCTCCTCCGTCCCATGTGCTAGATAAAGAGGTGACTGGCCAATCGGCAAGTGTGCGGGAGCCCTGTCGGTTTAAACCGCAGCTGTTACAGGGTTTGTGTAACGAGTCCTCCGTGGCTAAAGACATTGAGCCCTGTCCTGTGACTGACGGATAGCCCGTCATGGCGCTGGACCAATCATGAGAGGGCTATTCGTGTGCTCGCCTGGAGGGAGTGGCCAATGTTAGCATCCAATCCACGAGGCAGAAAACCGAACCTTGTTCTGCCAAGTGGCGTATCGATTGTGCAGCATGTCAGCTGTACAGCAAGCACTATGAGAGGGAGGTGGACTGTTTACAGAGAGCAATTTAGAACACATACCATGACAAATGTAAACAGTTCATCGTCAGCTAGCAGAGGCTATCTGTCAGTCACAGGACAGGGCTCAATGTCTTTAGCCACGAAGGACTCGTTACACAAACCCTGTAACAGCTGCGGTTTAAACCGACAGGGCTCCCACACACTTGCCGATTGGCCAGTCACCTCTTTATCTAGCACATGGGACGGAGGAGGTCTGTATCTGATGAAGGGGGAGAGATGAGGGAAGTTGTATCTTGAAATAAACATTTAAGTGTTATATTTGAGATATAATAATCACAGTTTACATTGATTGACAGTATGTAAACAGCTTGAATAGGCTGCAATATAAGAGGGAGAGACGAGGCACAATTTGTCTTGAAATATACATTACTGTATTTTTTGAGAAACAATAGCCACATAATGTATATTGTACAGTGGCTGGGCAATATGTAAGCAGTTTTGTTAGGCCACAATATATGAGGAAGAGACAAGGTAGGTGGTATCTTGATATAAACTTTAGGGTGAGTAATCTGACAATAGGCACACATATTTTTAAGTGATGGAACAACAGAATAGACTGCAAAAGGTGCAACACATTATTTTTCCTGCAGCAAACATTAGAAATTTGGTGGCTTAGGTCCAGCTGTGGAAACATTGTGTGGCACCTTTACAGTGCCTGGCCACTGAAAAATTCCCCAAACTGAGACACAAAGCATGATTTACCAAAAAACATTAGAAATTTAAAAGTTGAGGGCTACAAATTGTCTACAGCAGAGGACCCTGGGTCTTCTGTGTCACTAAGTATAACACTTTGCTCAACAATCTCACCCCACCTACAATATGTACGACTGACTGGAATTGGGAGGGGTGAATTGTCTCCCTTAAAGGACGCTTATTCCATTCTCCTCCTCCTCACTGCCTGCACCCCAATTTTCCACTGCCTCCTCTTAACTCACAGGGATAGAAGCAGTAGGCAAAGAATCCTGGATAGAAGCTGTAGGCAAATAATCCTGCTCACCCTGAGACAGCAGCAAATCCACCATCCCCCTCTTCCTCCTGCTGCTGTGCCTCCATTGCCCAGACTATCAGGCCATGGAGTGTGTGTTTCAGGAGGAACATGGAAGGGATTGTATCACAAATTTTCGCCTTGTCGCAACTCTCGATTTTTTAAAAGGTGCCAAAATGTTGCATGAGTGATGAGCCATTGATGCAGTAAAAATAATCCCGTCTCCCCAGAAACTGTCCTTGTATCATAACAGGTATTCAATGATAGCATGCTGCTGCTGGTGGTGGAGCTTCTGCAGCATGGCCAATGTTGATTTCCAGCACGTGGGGGTGTCAAAGATAAGGTGTTTGGCATGCAGCTGATGTTGACGCTGCATTTCTGCCAGGTAAACACTGACCACTTATAATCAGCTAAATTGGTCACAAACCTTTCTGGCCTGATGAAGGATCTCCTTGAAGCCAGGGTACTTCATAATGAACCACTGCACAACTCGCTTGAGGACATGTGCTGGCATGATACAGGTGTGCCATTGTCACACCTTCCATAGCTAAAAAAGGGTGTTGGGTAAGCCACCTCTTGGCCTGGGCCTGGAGAGATGCCATCAGATCTGCTCAATTGTACCTCATGTCCCCTAGGAATACGAGCTGCAACACAGCATGGCATAATTTAGCCTGTGATGTTACATATGTAGAGGAGAGGCGGGGACAGAGGACAGAAGCGAGGATGGAGGAGAGGACAAAGGTGGAGACAGAGCTGAAAGGACAGAACGGTGGGAAAGGAGCTGCTGCGCATTCATGAATACTCGCACATGCACAGCAGCTCTATTCCAACAGCTCTGTCCCACCTTCATCCTCTGTCCCCGCCTCTCATCCACACTGCTGTCTTTGGCTTTGCAGCAATGGCTGATTCAGTGCGGGTAGCGTACTTAGGCTGCAGCGTGTCTCACCTCATTGTGCCGCCCCCACTATTTCCCTCTGTGTAGCGTCATGTTGCCATGGAAACAGTCAGACCCATGTGACAGCGTGCACGCTCAGGTTCGAAAGCAGGTGTGCGTCCATTTGGAAAGCGCTGGGGGCAGGGCTGTTGCTGGCTCTTAACTGACTTCTGAAATAAGGATATCTCATATGTGTAGTCGCTTTGGAAGCAAAGTATACTATTAGGAAAATAAAGGTAAAAAGTAAATTTAATATGCTGTATGTCATAATTCTCCTTTAAACACAGAATAAATACCTGATATTTTTTGACAAGTGCTTTTGGTTGAACCTTGATGAAAATTTCATATTTTCCTAAATGTCGTTTTAGCATTTCCTCATAGACCAACTCAAAGGTGACTTTACTCTCTGATGCCACATTGACTGACACAGTGAACTTCTCAGTTTTCCTGCCAGAAGCCCTATATGAGTGAAACAAACTGTTAATATTTCTGGGATCACTGTTAGGGTTCATTTACACGTGCGTTGAGAAAAAAAAGGAATTGGCAGGCATTTTCTAGGCATTAAGGCTTCAAAAACACTTGCAAAATGCCCTGCAAGTAGCAAAGTGTTAAAGGGGAAGTGATCTAATTTTTTGTGTATTGCTGCATAAGTGCTGTATAACTGTATAACTGCTTTAGATCACACTGATAACAGCTGGCACTACTGGTATCCATAAAACTAAAGGAAACTTGTACTTTAAAACATTCTGAAAATAAGACCTAGTGTTTTTTGGGGGGGCAAAAAAAATATAAGACAGTGTCTTATTTTCGGGGAAACACGGTAGAAGTTGACCACCTATTGAAAATGTGCATTGCATGGCTACCTCTGAATTCAGTACTTTTAAAGTTACTGACCTGGAATAATTTACTCAGAAAATAATGGAAGCATTAACTCAGCATGGCAGCCCGGTAACGAGTGTTTTCATAAGTAAAGGTTAGCAATGGAAATCTACTCTCTCAATAACCTATTTCTCTCAGCACAAGTTTTCTTTAAAGAAAGAATGAATATGGATACATAAAAGCAGTGCGCCTCTCTTGTGTAGAAGTCTTCATTAAGTGGAAATGCTAAAAGCATCTGTCCACTGTTTCCTGTTTGCTAGACTTCCAGGCACCCTGACTGTCATAAGTGCTGCCCTCCTGTGGGAAGTCATTGTGTTTGTACCCCTATGGAGGATGAAAATAATTTTGCGCTATTTCGTTTTTCGGAATCTGTGTCCGAAAGTCAATTCGTTTTGGGATTCGGACGAAATTCGGTAGCGGTAGTTTTTTTTTTTTAATGTCACTTTGCTGCAACGAAAATTCGTCCACAAACGAAAATACGCTAACGAATTTCGTCGAAATTTTGTTTTCGGAAATTCTGATTCGTTTTCATTCATCATTTCTGTTATTCGCATATTCGGATACATCCGAATCTCTGAATAAGTTCGTCTGAAAAACGTTTTTTCCCAAAAGAATCGCACATGTCTACTGATTTCTCCACTACTCATTATGAGAGGTAATGCATTGTGATGCATAAAGTTACATACTGCTGCCACTTTTGGGTTTCCCTGGGGAGTATTGCAGTAATCAGTTTTTAGAAAACAGTACCTAGTAGTACCGTGTATTTTGTTAGAAAATTATTTCTGCTATTCCTACTCTAGTATGTTAGCATAAACAATAGGGCATATTAAAGGAGCGTCCTCCCATCACCCAAAGCTCAGTATACCGTGAGCTACAGCTTGCGGTATACTGAGACGCTGGAGCCGGGACGGATCCGGACAATACTGTCTGGATCCACACAGCTGCATGAGTGACAGCTGGTTCTGCCTATCTAGAGGTAAAGCCAGCTGTACCCGCTCCCTCCCCCATCCGTTCCGCCAGTCAGCGCTGGAAGGATCGGACAGGGGAGGGGGGGAATCCCGGACAGGGGAGGGGGGGAATCCCTGCAGGGAGCCGTGAGTGACAGTCACTGCTGTCTGCAGGGACATGATCGAGAAGTGAGCGAGCGACGGTATGTGTTCGCTCACTTCCTGATCTATTGAGCCGACGTGTGACAGTTTCATTGCACAAGTCGGCTAGAACTATGAGGCTGAGTGATTTTAAGAAATGACTAAACTGAGTGCAAACTTAACCAGGAGGTAGCTGTCTGTGTCAGTTTATCTATTTATTCACTGTGCCTTAATTCTCTCCTCATATCAAATTGTCAACATTTGTATTTTGATAGAGTGTTTTCTTTTGGGTTTAATACTGCCTGTAGAGAGGCCAATGTGTAAAGCCATGTTTATAAATAGATTTAATGTAAACCTTGCACTTAAAAGTACCACCAGGGTTCACATACAATTGGTTTATGAACCAGGGCAACAGAATGAAATACTTGCAGCTTTCAGCATTTAACTCTTTTATTTTGTTTTATATTCCTAATGTAATCTCAGTGACCGGCACTCTTTAGCCGCAGCTCCCGCCCACACGCCCGCACAATGGAAGCGACATCCGCCGGTACCGCAACAGCACGCCGCCTTCCGGGACCTCCAGCCAGGTAAGACATCCCCCGAAAATAAGACCCAGTGTCTTATTTCGTGCAAAAAAAAAGTAAGACAGTGTCTTATTTTCGGGGAAACACGGTAGAAACAATTTCATCAAACATGCAACATTAAGCATTTTTCAGTTTTTTTGTGTGAAGAACTGAAGCATTGACATATCTACAAGCACTAATTTCTGGTGGCCATAATACTGTAAATGCAAACTCTTTGGCACATAGATGTAAATAACTTACTGATAATACAGATGACTTACTTGACAAGTCCAGCTGTTTGTCCTCTTGAAACAGCTGTTTCATATTGCTTCTTTGCAACCTCCTTTTCTTTAATTACACCACTATATGTTACTCCATCGATTATCCTGCATTATATTAACATAGTTCTTGTTTAAATGTGTGAACACTAAGTAATTATAAACAAACAGTTTCTGAATTCATGCTTTCTGATGTACAGTAAATATATTGCAAACATGAATGATAAGTAAAACCCCTAAGTCAATATAAGTAGATCCAGAGCCACTGGCAGTTTTAGTTACATGCAAATCTCAATTTATCCTGAAAAATGTAAGCTTGTCCTAACCCCCTTTACAGAGAATAAGATTCCTACTGGTCCATTAAAGAAATCTCACCAAAACATATTACATTATTTTATCCAGGGGATCAAATGCTTGTAGCATTTGGCCCTGTAAAGATCAGTGACCCCACTGTGGAATATTAGAACCTTTTTATTTATGTTAATACCAGCTGCAGTTCCATCCCAGTCTGAAGCCTAAAATATGGGTGTTCGTGTGGGGGGAAGTACAGCCAGCACCGCTTCTCTTAGCTGAGAAGATCACTTGGCTTAAAAGATAACTCAGCTCTGTAGGTCTATGTGATCTATCTGCCAGGGCTGCTTATACAGTAGGTGTGGTTGGAAAGTTTAACCACCTCTGTCTGACCATGCTGCTAGCAAGGTGTTGGAGTATTGAGTGATTCTAAAGCAGCTGGGACCATTAGAGATGACTTAGCACTACAGGCTATTTAAAAGCAGCCCCGGCAGATAGCTCATAGCCTTGCAGCACTTAGGAGCTTTTATGAATAAATGTTCAGCACTGTCTGGGCCAGCACTGTGTATAACACAGTCCCAACAATGCTGAGAATTTATTCATAAACGATCACTCAGCACTGCAGGGCTGTGATCTATCTGGGGGGCTGTGTACGTACAAGAAGCCTAGGCAGATAGATCACATAGCTCTGCAGTGCCGAGTACTTTAATGCTCAGCAATGTCAGGGATGAATCATATACTGTACTGGCCCGACAGCGCTGATTGTTCATTTATAAAAGATCACTTACCGCTGCGCGGCTATGTGATCATAGCCCACAGCGCTGAGTAATCTCTTATGAATGGCAGCGCTGGTCTCCAGAGCAGCCCCTGCTGCCAGAAAATCAATCAAAACTCCATCTCCTTGATAGAAGTGTAGTCAGACAGAGGGGGTTAAACGGTCTGACCACAATCCTTGGCAACGGCAGGACGAATTTGAACAGGGCCAAGTGTTATATGCAATTGATCCTCCAGAGGCTGAAATTCATGAGACTTCCTCTTTAAAGTGAGTCTGAACTCCAAAAATATATATTTTCTATATTATGGGGAATATGTAGAAATGTTAATTGGAGGCCTTGTAATTGGACTACAAGATTCCCCCAGATAAATTCTTATACTACTATCAACTTTGATATGCAGTAAATATACTATATAGGGAAGCAACTCTTCTCCACACTCCTCTTGAACAACTTCTTTTGACCTCTTAGTGTGCCTGACTCTGTCCTCATTTTATATGTCCACTGGTCCCTTCGCCAGATCATACTCACACACAAGAAATTTTGGTAGTTGCGCTCCTGATCTTTTGTTTGTTTCTTTTGACCTCAGATAACATTAAATTGGTCTCGCAAAATTATGCAGCATTATATGGCACAAATAATACTAGGGATGCACCGATACCAAGTACCGTACTCGGTACAAGTACAAGTACAGATACTTTTCCAGCTCTAAGGCTAGACTAGAGAAAAATTCAAAAATTAGGAGGCAGCTGTTTTAATGTATGATTTTGTTTTTATAAATATAAATAAAGAGATGCACCGATACCAATTCTGCAAATACAAGTACTGATACTTGCTCAAGTACTTACAAGTACAAGTACTGATACATTTTTGTTTATTTTCATGTGACAGTTTTTCTAAAACAATATCGACGAATGATTTCAGGACTGTGGTGGAGCACCAGAGCCAGGTCCCAGCTGCAACCGCTGCAACCCTGGTAGTTCTCATGAAAATGCCAAGTATCGGCACTGGTATCTGAAAAGTATCGGTGCATCCTTAAATAATACCTCAGCTGACGTCAGAAGACTGACGTCTTATACAGTTCTAAACAGTATGCACAAGGTTATCTTCTTCAGAGACCAATTACTACAACTTAAACTATCTCCACTTTGTTTTAGAGATTGTGGTCAAGAGGTAAATTACTTTCATGCAATATGGTCTTGTACCTATACCCCAATTTTAAATACAAGCTAATTATTTTAATGAATTCACATTGGGTCTCCCTAATATTTTTTTCCCCTAAGATTTGTGTTCTAGGGATAATGCATCACCTAAGAGAATTGTACTTTAATGGAAAAAATTTATTTTTCTTACATGAAAATGTAACTCTACTTTCTCACTATAAGAATGAAAACATCTAATCAACTCATTCCTTCTTTATACCAACTTACCTATCCTAGTAGGAACGCAAAGATTTGATCAAATTTGGAGTCCATGGTCTAACTCAAATCTTATGGTTACATCCCCTGATGGTCAGTAAGTCAGGAGACTACTGTATATTATTACTCTGGCTTTGCATGCTATGGCATTCCTTAAAGGAGAACTATGGGGTTAGGGCTTTTCCCCATAGTTCTCCTTAGGGTAACGGGAGGACACAAACTAGTGTCCTCCCATCACCCTAGGCTCAGTATACCGCGAGCTGTAGACGCCGCAGCTGAAGCGGATCCCGACAATTATGTCTGGATCCGCCCAGCTGCGTGACTAACAGCTGGCTCTGCCTATCTAGAGGCAGAGCCAGCTGTACCCGCCCCCTCCCCCGTCCGTTCCGCCAGTGAGCGCTGGCGGATCGGAGCAGGGGGAATCCAGCCCCTCCCCTGTCACGGCAGAGAGCCGTGACAGGATCGAGAGGTGAGCAAACGCCGCTATGTGTTCGCTCACCTCCCGATCTACTGAGCCGACCTGTGACAGTCTCATTGTCAAAGGTCGGCTAGAACTATGAAGTGAGTGAAAAGCACTCACCTCATAGTTCTCCTTTAATTGTACAGTGCAACCATGTTTGCTGTAGAATTTATGTACCCAGTAATAAAAGACACAATACTGGTTTTCCTTATAATTAGGGATGCATCGATACCACTTTATTAAGACCGAGTACAAGTACCGATACTTTTTCTTAAAGGGACAGGTCACATTTTTGTAAAGCAATACAAACTAATGATTTTAGGTCAGTTTCTTAATATTTATATTAATATATTAACAGCCGGCCCGTACAGATCCGTGCTGCGGATGGATCCGTCTGCATCAGAGCAGGGACACCCGCAGTACACAGCATGAATATGTAAAGGACGGCTGTCAGTCATGTGAATGAGGCCTAAATGTAAGTTTAAGATTATTTTTTTTTACTTTTGGAAAAGCTTGGTGGAGTTAAATTTGGAGCAAAAGGTTTTGCCTGTGATATTGCAACTTGCAGGTGCAAAACTATGGATTCCAGCCAGGGATTCATAGCTGAGTAAATACAGCATGAGTAAATAAAATAACATTTTTTTCCATTGCTGAGTAGTGATTATATCAAGTAAGGATTCAATCATCTTTGACCATGCTGTATTAATAACATTGCAAGGCATTCCTGGACCTGTATATCAATATCTTTTGAATTTTTTTAAATGTGCCAGGTATGCAGAATTGGATATAGCTGTGCCACACTATACAATACAGTGTATAGTGTAAAGTTTATAATATAAAAAAAAGACATTGAATAATTAAATGAAATTAATATTTAGATCATGCCATAGCTAACTAAGGCTTGTATCCCCATAGTGGAGAAAATAGATGAGCACATGTCCAGACTCCAGAACACTATATAGTGTGGCACAGCTATATCCAATTCTGTATACCTGGCTTTATTGGGTGATTGACAGGCTTCCTCACCATTCAGGAGTGAGGACTTGGAGGTGGAGTTTACTTCGGCCGTTCGCCCGTGGATGAGTTCGCGGCCATGTTTTTTCATTGCAGATGCTATGGAGATCCTGTGTGTCGTGGTTCGTGTGCTTGGAGATGGCGGGTGTGGCACAGGTACTCGTTTTGGGTATTGAAGTATTTGCACGAGTGCGAGTACTCATGCAAATACTCTGTATCGCCGCCGATACCGATGCTTGTATCGGTATCGGTGCATCCCTACTTATAATACTATTTATTGTGTGATTTGGAATATCTCACTAAGTTCCATTGGTTTGATTTGGTTTCTATGTCATCTTTGCAAAAATTCAGTAAAACAAAAATCGAAAATTCAGTAAAAAAAAGAAATGTCAATTGTGCAGTATTCTCAAAAATATGACTCTGTATTTAAATTACTCTAGTAACATTTCAGTGCCCACCTGTGCCTTGAGCCTTATAGCTGTATAACTACAGTGTGAAATAATCTAGGGCACTGCGACTCACTATTATTCTAACAAGATTTGAAGTGAGATTTTGTGGTGTCCCTACTGACCTGATCACTGCTCTCCTTGCTGGAGAGAAAGCTATACCTGAGCACTTGCAGACAAGCATCTTCTTGCTTTTGCTTTATTCTGTGGATCTGTGCTTTCTATACCTCTCCTGCTGCTGGATTATTTCTCCATCAATCATCACATCACCATTCACCAAAGGGGGCAGCTCTGATATGAGGAATTAAAGCTCTGCTCCTCTATCAGGATGGCCACTCTCGCAGAGAAGTTATTGCAGGTAATAAAAAAGGGGTACACACCAACACACTGAAATGCAGGAGAGAAGCAGACTAGACTACCTGTTGGCACTGGACCACAGGTAACGTTCGCTTTAAATATATTTTTTTTTTGTTCTGCTCTATTGGTAGTCATATATTCTTAAGCCATGTCTATACAGCAGAGGGGCAGTAAAATCAGGCAGTTGATCCATTGTTTTGCTGCTCCCCAGCCATCTGCTGCGGTGTTAGCATTGCAGGTGGAAATCCTGTATACATCGCCTTGGCTGCTATGCTTTGCTTCATGACATGCAGTTGCAGCCCCATAGTTCAATGAAATGTTCCCCTTAGGATCCCCCAAAAAATGGCTTTCAAGAGGTGGCAGTTTCGCTTCCTGAATGCTGGGCAGCCGATGCCCTATTACCCTGTGAAAAGTGATCCACCCTGTCTAAACAAGGTGGTATGGTATGAAAACGATGACAAATGGCAACCAACATTAAAAAAAAGAGCACCTCCGTTCTGGAGCTTAAAGAAGAAGTCCTGGAAATTGAATTGTGAAGCTTTGGGGAATGTGAGTGTAAGGTGTAAGGTACATTTACCTTGGCTGTATTCTTCTTCATTAGATAAGCTGCTCTTTTTGGCTTTGTGCCCAAAATGTAATCTTAGTGCCATCCATAATAGAAAAAAATATGAAATAACATTTGCACTCTTAGTCTACAGTAATACTAGTTGCTTTACTCTTTAAAAAAAAAAAAAAGAGTTGCTTTAGGTTTTGTTAGTTTTTTGCTTGTAGATTGTATAGAAAATAAAATAATTTTTGCAAGACAATATCGGCCAAATGAAAGCCTTGTTTGTCCTAAAAAATAGATGTATTTACTCTGCATCATAAATTATGATAATGTGATTGCCAAATCAATAGGCCCATAGCTTAAATGTAAAACTTGCTTTATTAAGGGGTACATAAAATTATAAAGTTGAGGAACACTGTTCTCAATGGCTAATATATACAGTACAGGCTCCTTTCAGTGGGATGCACTAAAAATGTTCTTTCGTTTTATGTAATTTTTGAATCAAAATTCAATACATGGAAACATTTGGAGTACTCACATGCTGAAGTTTGCAATGAAAGCAGTTTTTGGTAGGTCAACATCGAAGAAGGCTTCTTTTGATACATTTCCTCGATTGACAGCTCTGCTTGTAATGACATTATGGGCGAAGCGAGATGTCACCTTACTGTTGATATCTATGCTGTAAACTTCTATATCACCAGCAGGCTAAATAATGCACACAATGATGAATAAATCAGTGATGAGTAAATATTTTAGACTTGGTTAGATGTAACATTTCCATGATTATGTTTGCATGAGAATGCATATAAGTTTAAAAAAATGCTTTAGTTAAAAAATGCTGTACACCTACTCTCATTTTAAAAAGAATTAGGTTTTGGGCAATGTTATTTTAAATATGTTTTGAAAGTTTAGAAATGTATAAACTGATATTTTACATATTTATTCATATTACTTGTATAAAAGCGTTATTTTATGAATAACAATTTAATAAACGGTGCTTCCTAGATTCAGTGTATTGTATTGGGCTGTCTATTATCGGCATATTTATAAAGTAGTGAATGTAACATTCACCTAACACCGAGTACAGGTGAGGAGAAAGTTAAGTGTACTTGTTGCTTTGCCCTAAATAGAAAAAGCATACTGTTACTTTTATTCAAACAAAAGTTCATACATCCACCTTGGATACCCTTGCAGGGTTTGTTCAGCATAACCTCCATGCAATACTTGCAACATAACACAAGTTTAGCCTTCTGGCTTCCACTTTAAACATTACCACTTCCGACCCGCTGGTGCGCTTGGAAGTGCTGTCCCACACTTGTTCTGGTGGCCCCTTAGGCTCACGGCTCTCCTAGCCTCACCAGTTCTTCCCAGCCTCCCTGGCTGTCATCACATGGCTCCAGCACACACCAATTGACTCAACTTTAACGTCTGGGAGAGTCCTCCTGACTCCTGAACACAGTCCGTTCCTATCTCAGCAGGAGCTCACCTGACTCCTCTCTGACTTCTGGGGTAGTCCTCCTGACCCCTGAACACATTCTGTTCCTATTTCCCCGCAGGAGCTAATTTCCCTAGCCAGCATCCTTTCCTTAAGGGCTGTGCACACCTGTGCAATCATCGGGTGCTGGTCACTGCTAAACCCTGGACCCAGGAATGGAGCTTTCTACCCTCCTGAATCACTTTGAAATCTCCCAGTTCCAGGATCCCAAGCAGAACCCAGACAAACCCTTGATTCTTGAAACCACTTAGCCCCTCTGGCTGAGAGTCCTGGGTAATCATAACACCCAATTGTACAGTGGGATTGCCACACAATACGTTCTTGATATTGTGGTCTACAGCCAGTGGGGACCGTATGTGCAGCACTTTGATTTGAAACCTGATATATTGATATACGACTCTGCTAATGCAGCAGCTTTGTGTATGCAGTGACTCTGTGAATGCAGATACACAACAGGGGGTGAGGTTTTCCTGCATCCCATGACGTGTGAGACTGCTGTCTGACCACTAGATCCTCAATATACCATTAATAGGGTCAAGGAGGACAAGGTACGCGGGATCAGGGAATATACATCCAGTACCGTTTGATTGAGCCTACACGGTAAAAAAGTATCTTGCATAGGTGGATGTCTGTATCCAACACCTACTCCACATTCTTCTGGTCCGTTGCAAATAAGAAATATACCCTTTGGTGACTATATTGTTTTTGGGTGACAATATATTGAATACCATTCCTTGAACAAGCAGGTGGGGTTACTAGGACATCATATTTGGAAAAACAGGCATCAGTACCGATGATTGCACAGTATTGATTCATACTTATTTAAAGCTATCTATAGGCTCTGCATTACGTTTTTTCTTTATGTTTTTAATTGTTTTAATGATGGCGTGGGTTGTTTCTGTTTACATGTTACAAAAAAGTAATGTCTTTTTGTAAGAAAAAATAGTATCTACTTTATTAGGAGTCCTGAGGGAGATGGCACCACCGTTTGAAGAGGTTTTTTCTTGTTAATGTATTTGACAAGGGTGAGCACACCCCCAGATCTCCCATAAGGCTAGCTCAATATTTTTGCTTTATATTTTGTTGGATACATGTGATGTATTTGGTTATCCAGCCAGAGGGTTTGTCAGAAACTTTTTCAGACCTCTATATTACATTTGCAAACCTTCCCAGGATGCATCTCTTAGGCATGGATTGCATCACGAATGCCTAAAAGGACCAGGGATTGGAAAAACAGTAACTGTAAGTAAAAGCAAAATATATTTATTTAACTAATGAATGCAAGAGGACTTCATATCAGCACGCAGAGCTGCATGCTGATGTGATTTTTAGTGAAATGGGGAAAAGGTTCACCTTATTGCTGCATCACAAGCTGCGATCTGGGATTCCTGCTGCGAGAACCTATGGATTATTGTAGCAGGAATCCCAATTATCCCCTTTCAGATGTGGCATCTATCACCATTAAAGTTAATGACAAGTTGATAGCGGCTGCATCTGTCAGTGGCAGTCCACATGTAATTGTATATGGCATGATTACATGCGGTTTAGGATAGATAACTGTCTCTGGACTCAGGATAAATGCATCCAGCAACAATCATCTATTCAAAATACATGGTGCGATTACATGTGGACTGCTGCTGACAGATGCAGCCGTTGTCACCCTGTCATTAACATTAACCTCCCTGGCGGTATTCCCGAGTCTGGCCCGGGGTTAATATTCAATACCAGGAGCGGTAACCCCGAGCCAGACTCGGGAATGCACAGAAAAGTGTCACTTACCTTGTCCCTGCGAGCCCGTGGCGTCCTCTGCTGTACGCGGCCGGCCGATGCCGGCATCTGACTTTTAGTTTCGTTTTCGGGCGTCACAGCGTCACAGCCGGCAATTTTTAATAATTTAAAAAAATGGTCCAGTAAATGGCAATTTTGGGGGCGTTGCCTACAATATAAAACAACAAATTTCCATGAAAAACAATGTACCGCTTTGGGATGCTAAAATCCTGAATAATCATACCGCCAGGGAGGTTAATGGTTATAGATGCCGCATCTGAAAGGGGATTCCTGCCACAATAATTCATAGGTTCTTGCAGCAGGAATCCTAGATCACAGCTTGTTACCCTGTCATTAACTTCAATGAATACAGTGACTGCATCTGATCGAGGACACCTGGGATTCTTGCCGCAAAAATCCGTAGGTTTTTGCCGCAGGAATCCCATATTGCAGAAAAATGCCCATGTGAATGGGGCCTAAGAAAGCAGAGAACAGATATCTCTTTAAAATTATATTACAGTGGGTACTTTAATTTGGCAGAAAAACTTCCATTAGAATAAAGTGGGAAGTTCATATGCCATGGTGCTTTTCTGGTTCATACTCACTATTTTTTATACTTTCCAAGATGCCACTGGTTTAGTAAGTGCTTTTATTCATTGAAAGGGCTGTTTTTATCTAAAATTGCATTTGTTTTTTTATGTGGTCATTATAAATGGACTTATAAGCAAATACTTAAAGTTGCCTGAATGTACGTTCATTGAGTTTCTGAAACATCACCTCATCATGCAAATGGCAGCTTTTACAATTGAGGGATGTTGAAAGCTTTTGAGGTGTTTTGGGAGTGCCACACTCCCAACATCCCACAATGCCATATGATGTGGCTCTCTACCGATAAAGAGGTAGAATGCAGAGCAATAGGGAATTGCACAGCTAAATATATATTTTCAGAATCCCAAATTTAGGGGCTATCAAGCATTCAGGAAGATCAACCTAGGTAAAATATGTATAGGCACAAACTGGTAACTGCTTTGATAGCAGAAGATACCTTATATTGGCATTGCTTCCATCCCCTACCCTGCTACTTGCATTGTAACTGCACAGATACTTACCTGTCACTAACGCATGGCTTCCTTCATTTCGTTATGGAAGTAATAGGACTTTGAATAATAGAGCTAGCACTATGCTTGTGATAGGTAAATATCTGTATAGTGTCAATGGTATTTTTAGCAAAAGAGCAACCAAGAAGGGGTGAAACTCTTATTGATAGTTTAAGAAATTAACCTAGCCTTAAACCCTAACGTTTAATTATAGCCACTACAAGTTCACATTAAGCCTATATTTAATTTTGAGGCAATGTACAGAATGCAATGCAACCAGAGATTACAATACTTCAACATATTTATGTTTTGCATATGCACTTATAATTCATTCATTCCCATTGTGCTTCTTTCATTCTTACCTTTCCAGTGTCTCTCTTCTGTAATAAAAGCACATAAAGAAAATATTATTATACATTGCATGTTGTAACACGAAATGTCATAAAAAAATTTGATAGAGTGACCTGTGTTAAAAGAGTTGGTACAAAGAGTAAGTGCAAAATCCCAACTGTAACTTATCAGATTTCATTTACTGCAGTCAGATCACAATATGGAGATTTCCACTTTGTGTGTAGTCACTGAGAACAGATATAAGAGCACGATAAAACCTGACTGGAGTTCTAACCTTTATCCAACCCTACCCAAACTTAAATGTTTGGTTGTAGATCTTCTTTAAAGTTAATGGACCAAAGCTGTAATGAACAGGCACATACTGGTAGGTTTAGGATGTAGAAAAAAAGATGAAGACTGGCATTATACAGGTTTCAAGGATATATTTTAGATTGAAGGCATGGACCATGTAACTGCAAGAGAGAACTGCAAGTGAGAAAATTCAAAAGCAGCTATATGGCTTGGAGAACACTGATACAGCATTACAGCACAGAAAAAAATCTATAAAAACAGTAAGTGATCAGTGCCAGTGAATGAGGGTAAATACAAGCTACTAAGCACTGAGGATATAATAAATATATCTAAAAAATGTAAAACAATATTGTGCCGAGCTGAATTAATACATGTACAATTCAGTGGGGAAAAAAATATGCCTAAAGATTCAAATAAACATAACAGGACATGAAAAAAAGTGAAAGAACAACGAAAAACCAAAAGTCCAGTGTGCAACAATCGTGGTCGTGCAAACAAATGCAGGGGATAATCCGCCGCTAAATAGAATCAGACTTCCAATTTAATTGTATGTATTCACTGAATTGTATGTATTCATTCAGCTCGGCACAATACTGTTTTACAGAAAAAAATCTGTTTGCATTATTTATGCTTTTCAAAACGTTTATCTTTTTTTACTTAGTTTCCCTAGTATACTGATGATACAAATCTTTTAATTTTGATCAAGATGATCACCTACAGACACATTTATAACTTTCTTTTTATTAAACGATTAACATAACAAAAGATATAAAATAACATTTCCTGCAGAATCTGCTGGTCTCCTGAGCACTGGCCCTGACATCCTGTTTTTGGGTGGCTCCTTTCTCAAACAAAGTTCTATGGAGCAACCCTTGTGGTTTGTAAGCAAACACGTAGACACATCAAATCAAACTACTCCCCTCTCCTCTGGAGATTGTGCTGTCTCCTATGATTTTTGTACTGGACAGGAAGTTCAGGGAAGCTGAGCTGAGAGACTTGGAACCAGCTGTTCAGAAGCATGATGACTGTAAGTGCATGGTCAGAAATATAAATAAATACTTTTCTGGGTGATGTATATTTGTTTGATCTGTATTCATTACTGAAAAAAAATAAAAACTACTACTTTAAACATTGTCAGTGGGTAGTTGTTCAACATCACAGGCGTAAAGTAATATATGTTAAGTAAACAACATAGTAGAGCAAAGTAAATTGCTAAGCAAAAGCAAAAGAAATATGAGATAAGAAGAAAGAAAAAGAAAAGTCAGAAAGCCAGGGGGAGATAAGAAAGAGGTAAAACAAAATAAGAACAGGGAAAGATACAGGAGAAAAAGAAAGAGAGAAAAAGAAGAAAAGGGAAAGAATAAGGGGAAAGTCCATGCCCCCCATTCAGCCAGGGCCCTTCCCAGAACCCATGAAGGCGGAAAGGAACAGTATTGGAAATAGTATAAACAGGGTAGTCCGTACAATGACAGGAGGACCAAGTTTTCTCGAAGTTAGGTAAGGTGTTACAAAAGTGTGTTCCATCTTGAAAATGTTGCGGAATGCTTCTAAACAGATTTACCTTAAAGGATGGTAAAGGCTGTTTATATTTTAGGGAGATGAGACATCTAGCAGTGGTCAGTACAAGGTTATCTAGCTTGGTATAGTGTCTGGGCATGTGTGAAAAGAGGAGACCCAAAAAGCAGTGAACAGGGTCCATGACCACCGGGGTATCAACAAGGTATCCAAGTAGGGTCATCACTTGTTTCCAGTAGCTATATTTGAAAACATTCCCTAAATATGTGACATAAGGTACCAGGAGCACCGTTGTACCTCCAGCATGTGGAGGGGATTGTTGGATTGATCAAGTGTAAAAGATCTGGGGTCTGGTACCAGTGGTAGAGAATTCTGTATTGATTTTCCTTATACATGGTACAAATTGAGGTTGTATTTATTTTGAGACAAAATCTCTACCCACTCTTCCAGATCCAGTTCTCTCCCCAACAATGCCTCCTATTAGATATGTCATTTTGTTAAGGGAAAGGTTCCCTTGGAATAGTAACTATGAGCTTAAAAATATCAGAAATAGTGTGTTTACGTAGGGGACCCTCCAGACATCTTTTCTCAAAAAGGGTCAGTTTGGGGAAGGTTAGTGTGTGCAAAATGGAATAAGAATCATTTTAATTTAAAGATGTGTGAATTAGCAGAGTGAAGGGAGGTTACATTTGAAGCAAAGGTTGGAAAAAGGAAGGAGGGTCCATGTGCTATTTTGAATTATGTCATTAAAATGAAAATAGGATTTAGTCAGCCATTGGGAAGCACAGCTATGGAAAAGTGTTGGTGGTAGGGACAGTGTGGATAAGAAGGAATACCGTGGAGAAGAGGTTGTAGTTAAAGGGAACCTTCTCTTCGAGTACAACCATATATCTTAAGTATGGGCCATAGAGGTTTAAAAAAAAACAAGATTTGGTGGGTGGAGGGGTATGCCAAAGGAAGGATTTGAGATAGAATACACAGACACATTTAAATGATCCAATATTTGACTTTTCTCTAAATGATTGAGGAACAAGACTTAGACGGCAGTGGATTCCTTATGCTTACAACAATATTGGTAAGCAAATCATTTTATATAAACCCAGTGAATGGGACCAATCTGTGAACTGGGCCAAGCCTGTGAACTGGTAAAAGGGGTTCACTTTAAAGAGTGTGTGGTGTGCCTCCAGCTCACACTTCCTTCTTCTAAACCTGTCTTTGTTAAGTGAACAATCATAAAGGTGACTTAATAATGATTTGTGGTGCCTGGCATTATTGGTTTGCTGTGACATCATGACCAATAATTACAGGTCCTAAAAAGGGCATCTATGTCCTAATGATGTGGTGACCCATAAGGCCACATGCTGTGTCAATAACAAAAAGTGTGCTCACCTATGTATCCATTCATTCTTTAACCTCTGGTCATGGAGGATATATGGGGGAGAGTACAGATCGGAGGGGGAAATATACATACATAATACATTTCACAATCCAGTCCCTCCCATGTCACAGCTCTCTCCCGTGACAGGATCGAGAAGTGAGCGAACGCCGGTATGTGTTTGCTCACTTCCCAATCTACTGAGCCGACCTGTGACAGTTTCATTGTCACAGGTCGGCTAGAACTATGAGGATGAGTGAAAAGCACTCACCTCATAGTTCTCCTTTAAGCAATTCCAGATATTTGTAAACAAAAAAAAAAGAAAGAAAAAAACTGCTGCATGCACAACTTTAGAACTAGTTTGGTAGTTTGGGCAGATATTAGCGAGATTACAAGTGAGATGCTGTTCCACTGTCTGGTCAAGTACAGCTTTTTTTTCCCAGTTAAAAAAAAAACTAAAAACAAACAAGCAATAAAGACACTTGCTCCCAGATGAAACCCACCAAGGATTATCACTATGATAAACTCCCACAAATCAAGTAAAGGTATAGAAGAAAATAATGTATAAATCTCATAAAAATACTTAATACTTTAATAAGTATTTATTAAGTGCTTACAAAAAGAACCCAAAAGGGAACACCAAATAAATGAACTTTTTTGGTCCCAAGAAAAGGTTTGTACAGCTATCTATAATAGTTTAAACACTTTATTCGGATCATAAATTATTATATACATCCGTGCTTTTTTTCTGGGGAAAAAAGGTGGTGATACTCATGAAATTTACATAAGGACTATAAACTTGGATCAATTCAAAACACTGTAGACTTGGTTCAATTCCAAACACTGTACCAGCTGTTAATGATTAATTACATAAAGAGTGTAAACTAGCATCAACTATGAATACTGAGGGCTTGGATTAATTCTAAACACAGGCAAGGGTCGTCTGTCTCACTGTGGCGCTGTGTCCATACAGTTGCCATGCGGACACTTGCGCATTGTCCGTATGACAAGTGTATGGACTCAGCACTAGACAAGCCTCATCACCCCACGGGGGGTGATGACGCTTGCCTTTAGCGTTATCCATACACTTGCCATACGGATAATGTGCAAGTGTTCATACAGCAAGTGTACGGACACAGCACCCTCACCATGCGCAGGGTGATGATGCTTGTCTGGCGCTGTGACTGTACACTTGTCGTACGCTTGTTGCAGCATGGACGCTTTTTAATGTTTTTGGAGTTTGGGGCAAAAAATAAATTAAAGTAAGGTGGCGCATACCGCCAGAAAAAAAAGCCCTGCATCCTTACACAGTGATACAGCTATTTCAGGTATGCTGGCCATCATCAGCACAATGTATGGAATTAATGTCCTCTATGGAACAGGCATTGGGAAAATGAGAAAGCATGACCAGGTTATTGTGAGGTGGCCCAAAATAAACCAAAAGGGCAACAAATGAACTAGGTTGAAGCACAGTATTCCCTCTTCGAAAAGAAGGTATCTACATCTCCTAGACATGTGCACAGCATAAAAATTTATTTTGGACGAAACGAAAGAAAAATAAAAAACATTTTCATTCATTTCGCCAAACAAATGAACTATTGTGCTATTTTGGATTTAGAGGCAACGATCCTCGACTGCACATGTAATCCAGAACGCTAGGCGGCCAATATACCATTCTATTGTCATGTGTAATAAACCACTTGTTTTGAATGTGAAATTGGCCAATATACACCAAGATGGCATGTATACATCAAGATGGCGGCACCAATACAGGTGTATATAACACCCAACGCTGCGCATGCGCAACGTCATGTGACATCATCCGCTCCGCCTCCAAGATGGTGGTGCGTATGCGCAGAACATGCCAGTGGCCGATATGGCTGCCGAGCGTTCTGAAAACAAATTATTATGTGCCTGAATATGTTTTTCGTATATTCGGGCATATAATAATTTGTTAATTTGGATTCTAATGAACCGTCGAATCAGCAGAATTTTGTTGTTTTGCAGGTTCATCCGAATCCGAATGCACAAGTCTAACATTTCCCACTTCTCTCACAAATCCCCAAAACAAAGGCTCCATTCTCTATTTTAGGCTGAGGGGATAACGACATTGAAATCTGTCTTTTATGCCCCTTGGCGAATATAGTACATGACAAAAAAATAGTGGGTTGGTATATGTTACCTCTCTGTATATGTAGACAATGTTTATAGAACATTAATAACAGGAAATGGAAAAAACGAATTCTTGCAATGGGGCTACCCCCACACTACAAGGGTTAAACGCTCTTATTGTCTAGGGGAAAATGTAAAGAAAATGTACCCACCTGATCCTCAGTCCTGTTTGTATGCTAGACCAGTCCCCGCAGCCTCTTCTTCCCTGGGCTCTGGGGATCTAAGGACCTGTGGCATCATCATTTCTAATGCAGCTGCGTTAGATGTGAGGACACTAAGGGACATTCCACTGCTAGAGCAGAGGGGGAGAGAAGTGAGCACTAACTACCATAAGACCAAGGATCAGGTGAGTATATATTTTTTTTATTTAAGCCCCTAAGCCAAAACAACCAGTTATCCCTTGCAGTGCAGGGGTAGCCCCACTACAAGGGTTAATTTTAACATTTCCTGGAGTTCTTTAAGTAAATGCTCTACATACATTAATCTTTAAGGCTGTATGCTTAGTGTGTTCAATAAATACCCCTGGGGCTAAATAACAAGGCAGAGAATATAGATGTAATATCAAATATTACATTTGATGAGCACTGTCGTTGAATTATTAATGTGGTTTCTTGGTGATGTAGGCAACATTCGGGAGGTGTAGAATACTGAGAACACTCTGATTATTCTCTGGATGTGGGTCTCTCACTCTCCTGCCATTTGGGGTTCCTGATGGGTGTTTTTGTGATCTGTTGGATAAGTGGATGTATTGGTGGTAAATAACAAATGTGATTGCAGGACATCATGGTGAGGCTAATGGAACAATATTTTGGATAATATAGGAGGATTGTGAGATCCACATTCTGAAATTGAGAATGATATAGGATCTATTTATTGCACCTCCATTGTGGAAAGTATATACTGTAATCACCTGAAGTTCATATAATCTGATGCCCATCATAATATATATACAGTATATATAAGCAAGGTATGATAACTAAACGTCCATTGTTGCTTTACCAGATACAGACATTTTATGCTGCATTTTTGAGGGTAACACTACGTGATCCCTTTAAGAGAATTTATATGAATATGGGCACACTCTCTACTCCCTCTATCCAAAATGTCAGATGTGATGAATGGTGTTAACTACAGTCATGTGTTGATAGATATGTCTATATAAATGTTAATAGAGGTATCAGTGTCTTTATAGTATAGTTAGTATCTGTTGGCTTACGTGTTTATTAAAGTGACATTAAGGCCAAAATCCCCCCACCACCACCACCACCACAGTGCTAATGTAAGGACTTACCTTAACCTTCCTGGCGGTAATCCCGAGTGTGGCTCAGGGTTAATTTTCAGTACCAAAAGTGGTAACCCCGAGCCACACTCGGGATTACACTGTAGCGTCACTTACCTTGTCCCTAAGAGCCCCGCTGTGTCCTCCGGTCGATGACGGCATCCGTCTTCCGGGTTCCTTCACTTGCGAGCGCCCACGTTACAGGGGGGCAGAACCGGCAGGAAATTCAAAAGTAAAAAATACTGAGATAATCAGACCGCCAGGGAGGTTAAATGATGCCTCTTAATCTGATCATCTTCTTTCCAGGAGTTTTTAGCTGTCCCTCCAGCTTTGGCGCGGGTCTCCGATCCAGCGCTGACTCCTCGGTCCTCCTCTTCTCTGATGTCCCACGGAGTATATGAGGGTGCACGCTGCTCCATATTCTTACCTTGTGTCTCTCCTCGTCTCTCGGCCGAACATCTGAACTGCGCATGCGCCCGCCCAAGAAATTTTCAGATGTTCAGACGGGAGCAGATGGCGGAGACATAGGAAAGTATTAACCTTTAGAAAAAGTTTTTTTTTTTTAACTGTTTTCCATATATCTACTGCTTGCTCTCAGTAGATATATGCAAAAACAAATGAGGGTTTAATAACCCTTTAAACTTTATACTGTTATATGATCATAGGAGTCCATGGTATGACTTAGGTAGTTAATGTTCATCTTTTGTGTATCCCTGCATTGATGCAAATACATGCATATTGGCTGAATTAAGTTATTATACATTGAAGTTCTATTTTAATATATTGTTGTAGGATAGCCCTAATTATACTCCTGAAGAAGCAGAACCTTATCCGACAAACGTGTTCAGCAAAAATATATTTGACTCTATATGTGCACAATTCCCTTGTATGGAAAAAAAAAGAGTTCTATGTGGTAATAATTAGTGAGTATTGGATGGGGACAATTTAATTGGAGGCTATATTGAAGTCTGCTTATGACAGAAGATTGGTCTTTTAATATGAAGTTTGTTGTATACGCATAAAGCTGTATACTTTAAATAACATAATAAACACATTTTTTAACACATGTTGTGGTACCTGAAAGATCCGTTCTTTACTGCTGATTCTGGTTTTGGTTTATAGCACAGGTAATTAGTTAAAAAAAAGATGGTCATGTTTGTAATAAGGAGAGGAAAAGCTGTTCTCCAGCCCAGCTTTCTCAATTGTATTTTGGCTCCATCAAGTGAAATATCTTCACAATTCACACAACAGAGCTAGAGAAATCCTGGGAAAGATGGCCTGATGAGGAACTTTACAATTCATTGCATTACCACTATAGAGCAGTGGTAGTGTAATTTGCTGCACCAGCAATGAATGAAAGATGTGCTGATCATCGGTTGAGGTTGTTAATATTATAAGAAGAAGATACATTTACTGTACCTGAATGTTTCTTGGTCCTTCAATCAAAAAATCACTGTTAACTGGAGTAAGGGCAAAAAACAGCAAAGTGAAAACTTGCATTAGCCGAGCCATTTTTGCAATGTGCTTTTTCTGTTCAATACATCGGTATTCCAGACAATATTATAACCTTATAACCTATGTTAATAAATAAAAGCAAATCAAATATTGCTAAACTCTACAAAAATGGAAAACACATGGCTCCGTTCCATGGTTCAGCCTTCAGCCACAGAGAAATAACAGTTTCAAAGTAATGCCTCACTCACAAACTTTAGTTACAAATTTGAGGATTTATGTGTGTTGCAGAATTTGAATAGTTTACAAGATCATTTGTATGAAGGTTTATGAGTCACTGAAAAGGTACAAACCCCTCTAAAATTGATTTATCCATTAGATCCAAATTGAACTTCTATACTGCACAAGATCGAAGTGATAAAATGGACTTGTTCGAATAATATGTACTAGCAGGGTTTGATATTCTGAGCAGAAGATGTGAAAACCGATGTATCTACTGATAATAAACAATAGAAACTATATAACCTAAATAAACAGGAGAGAGAAATTCTATCTTCTCTGAAACTGAATTCAGCTATAACTTGTACAGGACGCCAACAATAGGTCCTGGATGGACGGTATATTCCTCCCTTGTTTAGGTGGTGGTCCTGTTAAGGTCACCTTGTATTAAGGGTTCCCGTCAAGCAGGGTGAGGGGTTCTGGGTAGGACTTGTAAGGGAAACTGCTGGGCAGTCTTCCCAGAGTTGTTAATTATACATGGGTCCTGGAATCCGGAGGCGTTCTGGTAATGAAAGGGTTAACCCGCCAGTCAGAGGGTGTGTTAAAAAGGAACAGGAAGCCAGTCAGTCTGTGTCTGTGCCTGTGAGGAGTGTTTGGAGCAGGACATATGGCTGTGTGTGTTATGCTGTAGAATAGCTTCTACTGAGACACTGCTGGGGCACCTGTGTCCATACTGGAACCCTCTGTGAGCAGGGTGGGACTCTAACCCTGAGGTGGGACTTGGTATACAGGCACTGAGCCGAATCTTGTGTTTGCTGACAATAAGCCCTGTTGATTTTGTCATTCTGCTGAATATAAGCCATCTTTATTTGATTCTTTGAGGAAAATAATACAGTTTTACTCGCTGATACGGATGGCTACGGGTCATATCCTCCCTGAATATTACAAACTATAAAGAGTGCTGATAAAGGAGTCTCAGTAGTAATTATTATTACTGAAGACTATCATAGAGAAGCCTTGAGACTCTCGGATGTAGATACATACTGTAAGTTAAAAGGATAGCCCCCAGGTAGTGTGAGCAGGCGATCGGTAGCTGGCACATAAGCCCCCTGGGAATAAGCAGTCTCTTGGGCACAGATACCAAATCCAGGGGAGTAGTGGCAAACAGTGCAGTGTTTATTAGTGATTTATAGGTGCTGTACAGGGGTTCACAAGGAATCAGCAAAAATAAAACCTAGCCGTATCTCGGCACTAACTTCACGCACAAAAGATATAGCTCCTAACTAACAGGCTGAGCAGGCCTGCTGCTTGTCAGCCTCCACATAAACTGTTTGCAAGTTTTTTCCACTATACCTTGCAGCTCTCTCAGACAGGACTTGTCTGATCCCCAGGCAGAGAGCTCTGAGTACAGGTTCCAGGTGAGCTTAAATTGCCAGTGGGGAGAGGAATAAACCCTGCACTGGAGCCCGGATCAGCAATTCCTAAATGTATAGGAGAGGAACCTGGGAGACCTATAAACTCTGAACAGGACTTTCCCAGGCTCCCTCTGGGATGCTCTGCTACAGTAGTTATAAAAAAGAACTAAGTATGATAGTCCATAAAGCGGTATTAGGAGTCTTAGATCAGGATTTGGCTGACAAACTAATACCTGAGTTCCCTCCTATTCTGATAACGGTTCCCACCATCTCCTTAAGGTTCACAAGAATGTGACCCCAGTTACAGGGAGACCTATAGTTGCCAGTATTGGGTCACTGTGTGAGCCTTTGGGAGATTCAGTGGATATCTATCAAAATATTTGCATGGTGCTAAACATGTCATTCAACAATTCGGTGATAGAAGGAGGTAGAGGGGTAGCAAATGGCTGACTTGTTATGTAACATCAATATACTTGTGTATTCCCCATCATTTAGGATTGTCAACCTACGCCAGCCTATATTTGGATCGGTGGGAAGAACATCATATTTTTGGAGGTGTTATCCCATTAAGGGAACAGATTCATTTCTTTTACAACTCTATAGACAATTTGATCTTTATCGTGGGCCATACATTGCCAATAAAACATTTTCTGAACTATGTGAACAACGAGTACAGTTTGAAATTCAGCTATAAAGAAGAAGAAAGCCAGATAAATAATTTGAATCTTACCCTAATAGGCTCAGAAGCAGACCATAAGATTCAAATTCAAGGGTGGCGCAAACCCATTTCAAGCAATTCCCTTTTGAGGGCAGATAGCTGTCATCCCACTCATATTCAAAAAGCCATAATGAGAGGCCAATCTATTAGAGAGAAGCATAACTGTTCTACTCTAGAGGCTTATGAAATTGAAGCACAGGCTGAAGAAAGAGATATTTGTAACACAGTTATGACAAATCTACCATGACGGGAGCATACACGAATGCTAAATATATTCCCTTAAAGAGAAATTAATGAAAAAACAACCAAGAAATAGAACAGTCACATTTGCCACTTGATATAGTTTGACATTTGAAGATTTTACATTAATTATGTGAAGGTATGTATGAGAAGACAAACATTAGAGGGGTTCACAAAAGGGTGAAGAGTTTGGAGAAGGCAGGTGAAGTGAACAATTTAGGCCAAAATAGCTGATTTGGGAAAATTCTCTAATTCAGCTCACTTTCCAGTTCAGCTATGTTGTCCTAGATTGTTCACTTCTCCTGCCTTCATCAAACTCTTCACCCTTTTATGAATAACCCTGTAGATCTTTTTTCAAACAGTACAGCACAGACAAAGGTGATATACTATATCAAATGACACAAAAAATTGACACAGCGTATTTGTTCTCAGTTGTTACTATAAGAAAGGAAAAATATACAAAACCAATATATATTTTCTTTTAATTGCCTAAAGCAGCTTAAAATATTGAAGAGTTGGGTGCTGTTGCTGACACAGCATGTTTATATGCTTCAGAAAAAAAGCTATGGCACGCCAATCCTTTTTATCTCTGATACACCCTTCATAAATTCTCCTGTTGCTGAAAGCCCTCCTGCATACCTTCTTCTCCTGCCCATACGTTTTTCACTAGAATGTGACTTGGTATCAAATTTCAGATAATTTTACACTAGTTGAGTGGAAATATGATGTTATGTCTTGAAACCTGCAAGTGAGCAAAAGTATTTGACTTTTGTTTTGCTATGAAGAAAAGATAATTACCTTATTTTGCAAAAGGTTATCTCTTGTTTTAAAAAGTAGACACAGTCTCTGCCCACTGGTAGACACAGTGCAATATCCAGGAACTCAATGTTTACCGTATATGAACTTTGCCTGTCCTCAAGGCTTCTGATAAAAGGGTGTTTCAACATCCCAGCTCAAATACCAGAAAAACTTCAGTTCCAGTTTTCTCTTCACTTTTCGTTATTTTGTACTACTGTTTCTATTAAAAAATTCCTCCTCCAAGGTCTGCCCGTGTAGCATCTGAAGCATATTCCCCAAGCCTATCTAGGTATAGACAAAAATTACAAAACAGATAACCAGAAAAGACAAAATTTTGTTTTTATTTAACATTTGATTATGGAATGAACGGAGTTCGAGCAACACGTCCTCATGCTAGCTGCTGAGCCTCTCCTGGTGTCTTCCTGAGACTGTCCACATGCTCCTGTCTTTGACCTTGTACACTTCCAGGGAGTTCCCCAGCTCTTGGTGCCTGCTTGAGACTCTAATGTACTCTTAGTGCTTTCAGAGACTCCTGTGCATTTCCATGTGTCCAGCACCCTAGTGCTCCCAGAGATTGATGTTACCCTGTGCTCAAAGTGTCCAGCACCCCATGATTATGGACTCCTGTGTCTATTACCCCAGTGCTCCCTGCTCCAAGAGACCGCTGCTTCCCTGTGCACTTCACTGTGTCCCACACCCCAGTGCTTCCAGAGATTTTTGACCCATGTGTATTTCCAGTAATCCAGAGAAATTGCTATATCTCATCCACTAGCCTGCACAGGTGTGCTTGACGGCTGCAACTTGGGGGTTGTCCTGTGGCAAAGACTATCACTCTTTGTGGGGAACTCTGGTGAACACCAGGCACACCTTAGACTCTACCATACAAGCTATACCTCTAAATGTGCAGAACCCTGATCCACCAGCATTATGTGTTTACTCAACATGCAGTGTCACTATATGCCCTCACAGCCTCTTGCATCTCCAAGATCCTAAAGCTTGCACTCCCAGTGGATAAGAACCTCTGTCTGTGACATACACTACGGTAGCTATTCACAGAGGCAAGGTTCTTTGATTTCTAATAGAAAAAGAGAATTCAGAAATTCAGTTCAACCATTTTTTTTCCCAAATGCTTTATTTAGAATCACCAGCAGAGAACATACAAAGGAAAATAAAAAATCAGACAGCACACAGCCATATTGTGTAATCAATTTAAGCAAGAATAAAATCCCACTCAGATGATGTAATACAACAGCTTTTAACAGTACCAAATATGGGGGAAGGCTGTCACCTTTGCTAGTGAAAAACAAACAATTTTTTTACACCATATAACGTGAAGAAAAACAGGAAAGAGAGAGTGAAAATTAGGTGAAAGAAGGTCAAGAGAAAGAATAAGAGCATAAAGTCACATGAGAAATAGAAAGGAGTGGAAGGGGGAGAAGAAATGTATGCCTCCATACGGTCTTGTCTAAAGTGGATCATACTCGCCAGTGGTTCATTCTCGCAGTTAATTTTCCACTCTACGAAGCCACATCAATAGAGACGGAGGAGACTCTTGTCTCCAGCAGGCTGGTATGCAGGATTTGGCGGTTTTCACTAAATGGCGTACAACTGATTTTCGGTAAGTTTTGACAGGACAAGAATTGTGATGTAGCAAGAAAAAGGATGGATCCTGCGGTATGGGTCGATCAGTGAATTGTTGGGAAATCCGACGAACATGGTCCCAGAATGAAGTCAGTTTAGGACACGACCAGAAGATTTGGAGGATAGTACCCGTGGCAGATGCACATCTCCAACAACTATTCGTAATCAGAGGGTTGAAGCGGTGGAGCCGCACCAGAACATGGTACCATCGGGTGAATAGCTTGTAATTAAGCTTCTGTAATCTAGTACAGGCCGATGACTTTGAGGAGAATAGATACATTTTACTCAATTCCTCCAAGGAGAAAGTTTTACCAGTTCAAGAATTTTAACATACTGGTTTTATAAAAAGAAAACAGTGCAAGAGATATTTACAGAAAAGACCATACAAAACAGAAACAACAGTAAAATAAAAAAGATTAAAAATGAAAAATTCTTAAGTAGAGTCCTGCCTGGACTTTGGCTTCATGCAGAGAAAGGTAAATCTGATATGTCACTGGCCCTCCAACATAACTCTTAGCATTTCTTCAGGGTTTTGAAGGTAAAGCATAGAGCTGCTAATGCATGCTAGTTGTTAACCCTGAACAGGGTGTTCCAGATCGAATTACACTCCATCAAAGGGTCTGAAGTGCATTTTATTATGCTCAGCTGACGCTCCCTTAATATTAACTATTGCAGGTACAGCTATATTTGTAGATGACAAGGTTTTAGAATTGTAGAACCAGAAAATTATTTAACAGAATCAAATTATGATTTGTTAGATCTGATGTATGTTCCTCTTAGGAGGTATAATGTGTGTAATTGGCCTGCAGGACGTTGTAAATTAGGCATGTTTGGTGTCTAACTGATTAAAGACTCCCTAAACAATAGTGTAGCTACTTGTTGAAGACATCTTCATTACAGCAGGATTTATGGAAAAGGAATTAAAAACCGCAGATAGACCTTTTTCTGCCACCCATGTGAACAATACTGACAGCGTATTTATTCGACAGTACAGCATTGGCACATGTGTAAAGACAACTAACAGCATGGAACAGAGGTGCTGCTGCTCCCTCCTCTCTTTCTCATCCATTCCCCACATCGCAGGCACCGTGTTTACCATGAGCAGCCAGTAGAGAAACAGATGTGCAGCTGCCTTGCTCAGTGCTGTCAGGATTCAGGCAGCTACAGGAGCTTGACAGCACTCACTTCTCAGCTTCGGCTTCATCCCCTAATTGTCAGGTACAGTGATTGCAGGGGTAGGCTCAGAACTTTTACTTGTTGCCTGACTGTGCTGAGCAAAGCAACTAAGCAGCAGTCTGACTGCTCACATACTGCAGGATGAAAATCAGCAGAAAGAGGCAGGTATAGGTGAGCAGTAAACAGCAAACCACACTGCTTGCTGTTTTGCCAGAAATTTGAAAACACTGACAGCTCTTCCCCTTTCTCTTTCCATCCAACAGCCTGTTGTGCCTATAGCATAGGGAAAGAGTCTCCATGTAAGACGGCCAAAAGAGAGGGGAACCACAGAGAAACAGGGTGGTGCTGGGCAGAGAGAGACATTGCCACTACTGAACCTCTAATCCAGCTAGTGTAGAAAGCTTGGAAATGTCAGCGATGGACTGCAGACGGGCAGATAGCCAAGTACTTAACCATCACATAGGAAGCCAGCTGGATGACCAAATGGCCAGACAGGAAATAGGTGCCTTCATTCAGAAGGAAACCTATTCAGGAAGTGTAGAGAGGAACTCAACCCTGTTATTTATATTTTTATTCCCTGTTTTACTTTGTTTATTAAAGGAGAACTATGAGGTGAGTGCTTTTCACTCACCTCATAGTTCTAGCCGACCTGTGACAATGAAACTTTCACAGGTCGGCTCAGTAGATCGGGAAGTGAGCGAACACATACCGGCGTTCACTCACTTCTCGATCCTGTCACGGCTCTCTGCCGTGACAGGGGAGGGACTGGATTCCCCCCTCCGATTCTCCAGCGCTGACTGGCGGAACGGACGGGGGAGGGTACAGCTGGCTCCGCCTCTAGATAGGCAGAGCCAGCTGTCACTCACGCAGCTGGGCGGATCCAGACATAATTGTCGGGATCCGCTTCAGCTGCGGCGTCTCAGTATACCGCGAGCTGTAGCTCGCAGTATACTGAGCTTAGGGTGACGGGAGGACGCTAGTTTGTGCCCTCCGTTACCCTAAGGAGAACTATGGGGAAAAGCCCTAACCCCATAGTTCTCCTTTAAGTTATCCTGAAACCACCCACTCACACATCCAGCGACTCCAGCGTTGTCCTGCTTCAGTCTGCCAATCTTCTGGGTCCTGCGCCAACATCATCAGGGGACCAACTGTCTTTTTCGTGTTCTTACAGCTGGCCACCCTGATGACACAAATGGGCTGCGGCACGTCATTAGGTGGCCATCTGCAAGAATCAAGAGACAGCCGGCCCTCTGATGATTCACAGATGTGTATATGCCATAAAGCACACTGAAGCCTCCTGGGATACTGACCTCATGCATCCCCAGGGTGGTGTATTGTACATGCACTGACGCAGGGCCAAAGGAAAGCAATCCCTCCTGAGGTAAAAATTCTGGAAGTGCTGGGAGAGGCTCCACCAGGGAAAAAAAAGTATTTGAGGGAAAAATGTTTAATATCCGATTATGAGAGAAGAGAGGGTTAGAAGGGTAATAACGTAATGTGGGGACAGAGGGTGAAGGTTGAAAAGCTCCAATTACTGCAGGATAGGGAAAGAGTACATTTATTAGAGGCATGCAAGCACCTAACTGCTTCTCACATATTTAATTAGCTGTGCTCAGAATGAGGTCTTCCCCAGCACATTCTGGTCTACTCCACCTGCGCACCTGCTTTCCGCTCTGCATGCACTCCTCGTCAGTCTAATGCTGTTAGTGACTATGACTAGCCTGTAGGGGACGCTCGTCCCTCTACCGTTGCCTTACATGACGCGTAAGTTCATGTCTTTGGTAGTTTCCGGTCCACGTTCTCGGTTGCCTGGATACGGAGAAGCTGCCGGAAGTTGTGGTCAGGAGAAATGTGAAGCGGTGAAGAGGGGATGAGGTGACTCGGAATGGAAGAACAGAGGCAGCGGACGGATTTGGATGATTATCGGATTATCAGAGTGGTGGGAAAGGGGAGTTATGGAGAGGTCAGTCTGGCCACACACCGTGCAGAGGGGAAGCAGGTAATGTATAAGGCAATGCATTGTGCTGTATACTGAGGTATACCGTTCTGTCATTGTGCGGTATTAATGGTGTACATTTATAGGGCAGTAATGGCTAAAGTTGGGCATACACTATACAGTCTGACTGCACAATCTCCTTTACAGCTACATTCAACTATGTAGTGCAAATGCATGCAGAATTGGATACAAATTGAATGGATTATTTAGGTTATAGGCTTATATTATAATGTTTTGTTAAGTCTAAGTCTCCATTCACACCTAGGCGTCAGTGCTTCCGCGTGGAAAATGCGCCCATTTTTATGCACGTTTTTCCCTCGCATGATTTACGCTTTTTGCACATTTTCACACTCGTTAGACGCGCATAGGCAAAGATGCTAGTTTTCTTGAGCAGATCAAAATACATTGCTGTCAATGAGTAAACATGCGTGCAAACACGCACAGAAATGTGCAAAATGCTTCTGTCGTGCGTTTTAATGCACTTCCATTAAAATCTATGCGGCCAAACACGCTGTAATCTGCCCGACAAAAGCTCATGTACCTTTTCCAGCATTCGCCGTTTTACAGCTTGCAACAAAACTCAGGTGTGAACGGTGGCCATAGAAATGAATGGGATTTGAGGGTCAAAACGCCCAGGTGTAAACATGGACTAAAGGAGACTCTACAGATGTTGTACAATCTGATTGTATAGTCTATTGGTGGCCTAAAACCTAGGGATATATAGTCACTTTTACACAAAGGATGGAGCTTCCAATGCTGGTTTAGTGTACATTGTTCTTCTACGTTCCCAGCATGACATCATGATGATTGATTAGTTCTCAGCATTTGGATTTCTTTCTATCATTTTCATACCCCATTAAAGTTTATTCAAAATACTTTTTTATTTTTGCCCTATAAACACAAAGAAGAAGTGAGAGGAAATCTCCCCAAAATTAGGTAAATCCCCTCTAAGTTGTCTCTAGGGATGTGCATGGTGCGAACCAAGTCCAAATACTGTCAGTAGTAGTCTTGAATCCACTACACTCCAGACCCAAATCCCAATATAAAGGTGGGTGCTGGTATGACCCGCGGATGGTGCCACGTAAATCGCAGTATTATAAAGAAGTCAGCCGCACTCCAAGGTCCAACGTGCAGAACGCCTTTTATTGAGACGCTAAGCAATCATGGTTACACAGCGCAAAAAGCAACGTTTCGGAACCATAAATGGTGCCCTCATCAGACAAACACAATGAGTTTGCCTGTGTATTGCCTGTCAAAGGGCCATTTACAGTTCCAAAATGTTGCTTTTTGTACTGTGTAACCATGATTGCTTAGTGTCTCAATAAAAGGTGGACCTTGGAGTGCGGGTGACCTCTTCACCAAAACTGTCAGTGACACATCCCCCTCCTGGCCCAATCAACTGCATCCAGGGCATACCCCACGCCTTTGTTACATGGAGCAAGAGACAGTGTTGGCCA